GGACATCGCAAAACCATTGAAATGCATTGAATAGGCTTAAATGCATTCCAATGGAGGAAACATTATATCGCTTAACAATGTTTCCTATGGGTTTTTTCGCTTAAGGACGTCAATCCGTGCCTATTGGAACGGATTAACCAGTTTTCAATGCATCTCTGTGCGAAAACACTTTTCGCTTAACGATGTTTGCCCATAGCGATGGTTTTTTGGAACCAATTAACATCGTTAAGCGAGGCGCCACTGTATGTGTGTATATAAATTTGTTACAGAAAAGCAAACTCCTGATAATCTTTCTTCACAAGTGTGCTTCCTTTTTTTTATTTAGCCCACACCTCCAGTAGTTTGTTCAGTGCCACAAACCACACCAATTAATAGCTCTACTAATGAGGAACCTTCCAAGCAGGTATATTTATCTTCAAAAATTTTGGCACAGTTTGTCTTGCACCCCCTAGATACATTGCAGATGTTCTTCATAGAATAATTTGTTTTTATAGAAATCTATGTGGTCAGAGCATAAATCACCAGATGGAAGAACATACTACTACAATACTGAGACAAAGCAGTCTACATGGGAGAAGCCAGATGATCTTAAAACACCTGCAGAGGTAAAATAAGTTAAGGCTATTTAAGTCCTTAAATGACTATTAAAACTAGTTTTCCCTCTAGATGCAATCATTAATGCCACTTGGTCCCCCATCCTGGAAAGCTATTCATCTTTTTAAAGACTGCAGTGGGAGGAGTGTTCCCAAAGCTCTATTGCATAAATGAAATTTCATATGTAGCCCTTTATTTCTAATGCTGTAACTTTGTCTATTATGCTGCTTTAAAACATTTTTACAAAGTTTTTTTTAAAAATTGTTTTAGCAAATGTTGTCAAAATGTCCATGGAAAGAATATAAATCTGATTCTGGGAAGCCATACTACTACAACTCCCAAACAAAAGAGTCGCGCTGGGCGAAACCAAAAGAACTTGAAGACCTTGAAGGTAATTTCCACAGAAACTTTTTGATACTTTTATATGTTCATTTTCATATTTTTCTTTATAGTCAGTGCCTGGTAAGGGTGTAAACCAGTGGTGGGGAAATCTTGGATAGGTTGGGAGCCAGATCCGATCCTCAGACACTCTTTGGAGCACCTCATGGCTGTGTAGGAGATTATACCTCCTGATGTTTTTAGGTCCCAGAACTGGCTGGAGTTTTTTCAGCTGGCACCTTAGTTGGGGATCTAGCTTCAAGCTATGTGGAGATCCACTTGTCAGATTTCACCAGATCCATTCTTTGCTCCTCTTTGTTTTCTCTGTGATGGAAAGGTGAAGGTGAGATTCCTTGGCAGAAGTGCTGGCTCCTTCTCTAATTACATTGAGAGTGGCTTCACTCTGTCTTCACTTTCCTGATACTTGAAAGGGAATGGAGGAATGAAGTGGTTAAGCCTTGAGGCTGTAGATTGGTTACTCTCCCACCTGCTTTCCCTCTTGAGAGCGAAGGCTTTAGAGGTGGTTGTCCTGCCTCAAGGTGCTGTGAGCTGGATGAACCAGCTTAGTCTAGACTAGCTCTGTCCTTGTCATACTCTATAATCCATGGGTACTGGAGAAATCTGTTTGAACAAGTCAGGAGTGGACCTAGGAAATTCAAATTTCATTATAAGGTGTTACTGCACCTGCACAAATATTGTACCCGAGTGTGTAAAAGAGAGATAACCTCTCTTTGGTTAACCTGTCATGAACAAGGGAAAGGGAACATAATTGACTTCACTTGAGTATTGTGGGATGACCTGAGAAACTGTTATCCCCCTTAGTAATAGGTAGCCTCAGTACCATCTGACAAGCAATAATTTGTTGACTCAAGCAACAGGTCTTTTCTGATTCTGCTCCCCAGCTTCTTTTAACCAGAAATGGTTACAACTGGATCTTTTGCATTCATAACATCAGGGTTTTTCATGTATGGGCTGTGGTAAAAATATATCAGTGTTTTGATTGAAAGAAATAGAATGTTTTTTCCTGGGATCCAGTAATTCCCATACATCAGAGAGGACAAGATGCAGAGCCAGGGACTATATGTAGACAATCAATGTATATTTGAACCCCTCAGACAGACCTCTCTTTTTTTCTGCCACAAGAACAACTGTAGCTTCCAGACTCCTTAAGGATGGTGATTTATCATTTAAGTCTTCATGTGTCTCTTCAAGCTATTTACTGTTCCAAAATGACTTTTTCAGAACTGGAAGGGAGCTCCTAGCCATTAAATTCTTTTTAGGCATTTTTAGTGGCGTCTGCAGCCCCTACAAGGATTCTTGGGCAGAACACTTCTGGATCTCCTAGAGTTGCCTAGTGAATCCCTAAAACATTTCCACCCAGAATCCATCTCATTTTTGTTTCCAACCAAGTCCCCCTAAAATGCTTCAGAATCTGTATCTGTGAATTACCTGTATACCATGTCATTTAAGCTGAAATTAATAACATTTGTGTGTGTGTTTGTTTTTTATAGCAATGATTAAAGCAGAAGAAAATAGGTAGGTCTGAAAACATTTTTTCTTAATGGAAAGAAGAATACAAAACTTGGTCCCCTTTATTGTGTGATGCATATGAGATTTTACATAAATTTCATCTGAATTATTTAGAGATTTCTTTTTAAAAAAGTTCATCCTCAAAGAGCATGATCCGTGTTTGTTCTCTCAACACACACACACACACAAATACACAAATACATAAATACACAAATACAGTACTGTGGAATCTGGCGGTCTTCCAGAAGAGAAGAGCCTGGCCCTAAAACTTCTCCAGGAATGAACAGATATTGTCATAAAACCTGCTGACAAAGGAGGTGCCATTCTAATACTGAATACTACAGACTGTGAAGTAGAAAAATAAAGACAATTGAAGGATAAAAAGAAGCAAAAACTCTTGGACAAAAATGCTACTACAGAACTCAGTGGTGATAGTATTAAAATGATGCAAAACCTTATAGTCCGGGAACTTCTTAACAACATGACAGATAGTCACCTTATAAACCCAGCTCCTCTTACTGGGTGTTTTTATACCTTGCTTAAAAATCCAGAAAATCAACCACTCAGGACTCCCTGTTGTTTCAGCTAATAAGCTAGTGAGAGGATCTCCCTGTAGATTTACAGAGTAGGGCAAAAAAGCCTCCCATGCTGTCTCAAAGATATCAGTGATTTCTTGCTCAGAACATGGATTTGATAATGATAGCTACATTGGGTGTCACATCTCTTTATAAACAACATACCACATTGTGATGGGGTTCAAGCTTTAAATTGTTTATTTTACAGCAGGAGTCCTGAAAACCCTCCCACAAAGGTTGTTACTAGTTTGCCAACATTAGTTCCCTCTTGCAATAATTTTACACTCAATAGAAAGCACTGCTTACAATTGCAAATTACAGCAATGGGCATTAGCATGGCTCCTTGTTATGTAAATTTATTCATAGCCAAGCTAGGAGAAAACATTCTGAAAGAGGTGAAGATGGGAAAACCTCTTACATGGTGGAGGTGCACTGATAGTGTCTTTATGATCTGGATAAAAGTCAGAGGAATTGCCTAGAGGAATGTAAATCAAAATTGAAGGAGGCTACCAGCTTCTGGGAGATCTCTGTAGGGATTTCCTTTGAAGTTTAGTGATGTGAGAGCCTGTTGATTCTGTAGGGAGAAATGAGTTGTGGGAGTTACCTAGTTCATCCTCTGTAGACTATAGACTTTACAAAACTTGGAGATGAATTAGACATTATGCTAGAAAAATGTGGCACATACATATTGTGTTAAATAATTTACTCCAGTAGGCAACGTTGTTAATACAGAAAGGATGTCTGTTGCTTGTATAGTGGGAAACCGGAAGAATCTGTTCCAGCATCATCTGCTGCTATTGCACCAGGAGTTACAAATGCTGCTGCCACTGTTCCTGAAACACCTGCAGCTGTACCTTCAGCTCCTGCTGTTCCTCCTGTTGTGTCAGCTCCTGAAGCGGAGCCTTCTGCTGTTGCAGTTGTAGAGAGTGAAAATCGAGTCCCTGCTTCAGGTGATGAGCAGGTGCAGCCAACAGCTCCTGTTGCACCAGAACAGACTGCAGAAATTGTCACAAACTCTGTAGAAGACACTTCTAAGCAAGAATCCTCAGAGTAAGTAACAATTTTTAATGCTCTCACTGGATACTTTGTTTCAGAAAGAATAATTCATAGTTTAGGAGTTAACTTTCAATCAAACATTTGAAAGTAACTTCTTCCTTTCTTTTCTTGCCATTCTGTTTTTTTTCTCTGGGCTTGCACACTGGCTGATCTTCCTAGATCCTTATTACTACAGTGATGCCTCGTTTAACGATTGCCCTGCATTTCGACGAATCTGCTTTATGACAATCTTTTTGCGATTGCAATCGCAAAACAATGGTCTAAAAGGGGGAATTTCGCGTAGTGATGATCGCTTTACGATGATCAAAAACAGCTGATCGTGGGGGGTTTCAAAATGGCCGCCGGGTACTTAAAATGGCTCCCCGCTGTGCTTAGGGATGGATTCCTTGCTATACAGGCAGCTAAAATGGCTGCCGTATGGAGGACCTTCGCTGGACGGTGAGTTTTCAATGCGGGTTTCAATGCGTTTCAGTGGGGCTTTTAATTTCGCTTTACGATGTTTTCGCTTAACAGCGATTTTCCTGGAACTAATTATCGTCGTTAAGTGAGGCACCACTGTACAGCAATAGGCAATCAACCACAGTCTCAATGGCCGCTATCTTGTTGGGCTTTTCCTTGCACATGCAAGTGATTGCCCTGTTTGATGAGGTGTGTGTTGTGTGATCAGTTGTGCAACTGTGTGGTGTTAGTTATGCAGATGGAGATCCCCAATAGGGTATTCGCCAATATATTGATAGTTTTGATGATTCCTATTTGCCATTGTTTGGCTTCTTTTTTGATTTGTTAAATGACTGTTGTTCTATTTGTTTATGCAGTATGAGTGTTTTATTTCTTAGGATATTGTGATTTATTTTATATTTATGTTACTTCAGATGTAAACTGGCCAGAGTAGTGCCCAGCACTAATTGGTATGGTATACAAGTGCAGTCAATCAATCAATATTCAGAGTACTGACAGAATCAATGATAACCCTGTATTATAGTTTTATGTAAAAATGCTATTTAAACGGAACTTTGATGCCTCTATGTTGCAGTCTGCAAACTGCCAGTTAAGATCCCAAGTATGAGATGCTAAACAGTCTAACAGCAGTGCATGATCTCAGGATTAGTGCTGCTCCCAGTTGAAAACTAAGAGAAAAAATCCAGTTGTGTTTCTCCCCCCCCCCCCCCCACTCCCTGGAACAAACTCTTGGCAGAATGAATTAACATACTGTATGCCCTATGTCCCTTCAGAAGCAGCGTTAGAGGATTAATGGCATCTTTTTGGTAAACCTATGCTGGATGGAGCCCCAGTGTTTCTGGATGTGCAAGAACCATTGCATCAGAGGCTTGTAGTTTCCAGACAGGAACTGTTGAGACTATTCTGATCAGTCCCAGTGACTTCAGTAAATCATTGAGTAGTATGCTGGGCTCTGCTATATTCTGGCATTTAGTTATGCTTTATGTTAGTTTGGGTTCTGCTGGATGTACAGAAGAGGGCATTCACATCCTTGTTTATCATTCTTACCCATTTAATTAGTACTACGTTTTACTAAAGTATCATGATTTTTTTTTCCAATCCATAGTGTTGCCCCCAAAAAAGAAGAGGAGGAAGCCCAGCCGGTTAAAAAAACCTATACTTGGAATACGAAAGAAGAAGCTAAGCAAGCATTTAAAGAGCTGTTGAAAGAAAAGGTTTTTAAATTGAGACAACTACTTTTTAAAAATTCAAGTTGGATTAATGTACTATTCCATGTGTGAAAATTGGATGCTTTTTTTATTTTTGAAGGATTTTTAGTTTTTAGTTATTTTATCTTTTCTAAGTTTGTTTTTAAAGTTTGAAATGAATGAATACTTAATAGATGTATGTATTTTTTTTAGTTTAATTGCTTTTTAATCTGTAATTTATTGTGTTTTTAGTTTTATTTGTTCTAACACTGTTAGCTACCCTGTGTCCCGTTGTCACAAGAAAGATGGCCTACAAATGATTTTTTAAAAATTAATTAATTAATTGTTGGGTTTTGAAGTACAGTGGCGTCTTGACTTAAGAACTACTTGAGTTAAGAACATTTTGACTTAAGAACCGCTCTCATAGGAAAATATTGACTTGACTTAAGTACTTAGATTTGAGTTAAGAACTGAAAAAAACCCACGTGGGAGGCAGGGAAAGTGCAAAATGTGAACTTTCAGTTAACTGTTGGCCAGTGAAAAGGGTGCCTGTCTGCTTCCTCACTCCTCTCAGCGTTTAGAGAGTGGATTGGGAGACAGTCTTCGGACTGCCTGGTACTGTACTGCCTGGACTGTATTTTCCCTGCCTTCCCTGAACCTTTCTTGACCTAAGAAAAAAAGAAACAAAATATCCCCCTCTAGTGGTCGAAGGCAGAATAGCAGCTTCCCATTAGTTTCTATGGACGGAAAAGAGCAGATACGGATCAAATGGTTTTCAATGCATTCCTATGGGAAATGCAGATTTGACCTGAGAACTTTTTGACTTGAGAACCGCCTTCCAATACGGATTAAGTTCTCAAGTCAAGACCCCACTGTAACTATAAGGAATAACATTCTAGTTAGAGTAAAGATGGAGAAAATATTCTGGACGACAAAGTTAATTTACACTTTCAAGTCCAGTGTCATCTAAATGTATTTGAAATGGGGAAAATAGCAAGAAGGTTAACTAATTGTTATGTGTAAAGCTTATTCAAGTGGCCAAGGCAGATATATATTTCCAGTCTTCTGGGAAGCTCAGAGAATGGGAAGGAGAAGTGGAACTTTTATTTTTAAAAAATGTGGAATCCACTTTCTTCATAATTTTCATTCTTAGAGAATGACTGACAAGCATGTATAAAGTGCTGTCAGTGCCAGTTTGTTAAGTAGCTTTATGTTCGAAATGTTACTCCTGAAACAATTGCTGCAGGATCAAAAGAAAGCCATATGTTTTCCTGAGTTTAACACACACTCACAAAGGGAGAGGGATGGGAAATAGGAAAAAATGAAGCATTTCTTGACCAAAAGTGCTTTGTGCATCACATTTGTCTGTTGTTTGTTTTATGGATGTTTAAGAGCAGTGGTCCCCAACCTTTTTTAAACCGCGGACCGTCTGTTGTTTGTTTTATGGATGTTTAAGAACAGTGGTCCCCAACCTTTTTTGAACCGCGGACCAGTTGGGGGGGCACGCTCGTAGGGGGCATGCTCGCGCACATATGCAGATGGGTGGGGGCGCATGTGGGTGTGGAGAGGATATGGGTGGGTGGGCTATGTGTGGGGGTGGGCGGTCTGTCTTGGTGGCCCGGTCCTGCCAGGGCCATGGCCCCGTAGCGGACCGGGGTTTGGGGACCCCTGTTTTAGAGGAAAGAACAGAAGAAATATTCTGTGTAAATTTTCTTTGTAAAATATTTCTCCCTTGCTGTGAACAAATACTCTTTACACTTCAGCAAATTTGGTAATGATTTTTGCTTAACATATTAGATTTCAAGGATGTGCTTGGCCAACATTTTCATATTTATTTTATTTTGGGTTCTTAAGGGGGGGGGCATATTTCATTTTCATATTTTTCTTGCATGGGTTCTTTTGTTTTTCATGAAAGAGAATGCTTCTTTTGGATCATTTTTCCCCATTTGTATTTTCTGGCATTACTCCAAAAATGCTTGAGAGAACACATAAAAACCGCTCCAAAAAGCAAAGGTGAGGCAACAGATTCATTTTATTCCAAAAGCAGAGAAGAGCGCATGAGGAACTGAGTTTTTTATCAGAGTTGTGCAGGCATCCATCCACCCAACTGGTGCATTGACAGAGTCCTCTCCTTGTCCCACCTACTTCCACATACTAAAGCAAGACCATTACCCAAAGCCCACCGAAGCATACATATTTAACAGAATAAACACACTTTAAACCAAATAAGATATTTTTAAAAAATCAGCCAAAGAAAGTGTGTGCACACATGTGCACAAACAGACACTTGGGAAAGAAATATGAAATAAAACACATACAAAGCCCCCCTCTCCCCCAAAGTGAGAAAGCTTTCATGTACTCTTCTTTTGTTAATATGAACCATTCATACTTGAGAGGCTACCTCTTAGAAATGAAAAGAAAATGAAAAAAGAGCCCTGTTAATGTAAACACAAAAGGCACTTCCCTATTAGATATCACAGTTGCTTTAGTTAACATTTTAAAATTGAACATGCAATACACAATTGCACTGATTCTGGAAGTTATATTATTCATTTCTTTCTTCACAGCGTGTACCATCCAGTGCTTCTTGGGAGCAAGCTATGAAAATGATAATTAATGATCCAAGATACAGGTATAATTCTTTCGTATTTCTTTTCAATCAACATGATATTACCGTATTTTTCGCTCCATAAGACGCACCTTTCCATAAGACGCACCAAATAGAAATATGAAATAAAACACATACAAAGCCCCCCTCTCCCCCAAAGTGAGAAAGCTTTCATGTACTCTTCTTTTGTTAATATGAACCATTCATACTTGAGAGGCTACCTCTTAGAAATGAAAAGAAAATGAAAAAAGAGCCCTGTTAATGTAAACACAAAAGGCACTTCCCTATTAGATATCACAGTTGCTTTAGTTAACATTTTAAAATTGAACATGCAATACACAATTGCACTGATTCTGGAAGTTATATTATTCATTTCTTTCTTCACAGCGTGTACCATCCAGTGCTTCTTGGGAGCAAGCTATGAAAATGATAATTAATGATCCAAGATACAGGTATAATTCTTTCGTATTTCTTTTCAATCAACATGATATTAAATGATTATTTCTATAAAGCAGTATTCAGACGATGGAAGCAATGTCATAATGTTAACTTAATTAGTTTCAGAATATTGGTGACTCCTCCCCGTGGCGGATGTGTTTGTATGTGTGTGCATGTGTGTGAGCATGCATATTTGTTTGTTTGGAGGAGATAATATGCTGCACATTTGAAGATTATCCTGCGTGCACATTTAATAGGAATATCTGCAAAAGGACCAATAATAATTGAACATCTTGATTTTTCTCTTGTCACATTTTACAGCGCTTTGGCAAAGCTAAGTGAGAAAAAACAAGCTTTTAATGCTTACAAAGTCCAGACAGGAAAAGAAGAAAAAGAAGAAGCAAGATTAAAATACAAAGAAGCAAAAGAATCTTTTCAGCGTTTCCTTGAAAATCATGAGAAGATGACATCCACAACTAGATACAAGTAAGATTGTGTAGTACTGATCAGACATTATTTTACATTTCAGTGTTGAAACTCCTGTGGTGAGAGGATTTAAATTTCACATAATTGTGTCAGTGAACATTTGAAAGCCTTTCTTTCGTTTGGAACATCTTCAGATTCTGTGTTAACATGTAGAATGGGGTTTGCACAAATTTATGTTTGCTGTAGCCATTCTTTATATTTACATGTGGAGTTTTGTTCTCTGTCGCTTGGTAATGACAAATGTGAGTTTGGGCAAAAATCAGTTTTGTATCATCCTAATATGGAAAGTTGATAAATACACAAAAACAGCAACAGTGTAGTGTAGTAGATGATGGATTTGTTTTTTGAGAAGCACCTTGGACAGTCTAATGGTGTCACGGTCAAAAGTATGACACTTGAACAAATCCTCAGGGCAACATAGACTCTAATTTTCAGCCATAATGGACAAGATTCCACCTCTCTCAAATCGACTTCATCCCTGCATGCATGCGCGTGACTCCATCTCCCTCCCTACAAGGTTACCCCACCTCTCTTAAATCGACTTCATCCCTGCATGCATGCGCGTGACTCCATCTCCCTACAGGGTTACATCACAACTAAAACCAAAGGGGTTGAACACAATTGCTGCACAGAGGAGAAAGAAAGGTACTCAGAGGGAGGGAGAGTTGCGAGTGTGTACGCCTCAGCTTAGAGGGAACCTTGTCTCAGCACATTTTATAACATCCTTTAGTAGTTTGATTCTGTGGCAGGCCATCACAGCTTAACATTTATCCCACCCTACAGGGTTACATCACAACTAAAACCAAAGGGGTTGAACACAATTGCTGCACAGAGGAGAAAGAAAGGTACTCAGAGGGAGGGAGAGTTGCGAGTGTGTACGCCTCAGCTTAGAGGGAACCTTGTCTCAGCACATTTTATAACATCCTTTAGTAGTTTGATTCTGTGGCAGTCCATCACAGCTTAACATTTATCCCTGAAAGGGTTAATTTCAAAGTGAACCTGATAATCATGACATATTAAAGTTCCTCTTGGTATCAAGGTATAAGTCATTTATTTGCTCCTGCTTTGCTCACCAGGGTTGTAGCTTCTGAATGTGCTCTACCTTCTCTTCAGAGGGTGGGAATGAATCATTTTTTTCACTCATGGTGAAGTAAACAGAGAAAAAAGATTCAGGCAACAGTAGCTTGTCTAATTCTACAAGCTTTATGCGTTTCTTATATGCAAAAAATCCAGAGGTTATTGGAAACATTGAAACTTTTGGAGGAGTCATAAATATGTGACTTCTAAATATAATTCTTATAATTATAAGCAAAACTGAAAGTACCAGTTAGTGAACTCCATGCATTCTCTAAGGGAGTTGCTACAGTAGTAAAACCAATAGACTTGTTACCTTAGCAAAATGCATGGGATTGTATGCGAGGTTTGTAACTCTTTGCAGTGACTTATATTGCCTTTATCTGTTAATACTTTATTTATACAAAATTTCAAAGGCAACCATTTCCCTCCCAATTAGATAAGTGTGGAGAAGTCTTGCTTGTAGGTTTTCTCTGTTGTTCCATAGTCCAAGCTTGCAATCTTGACATTGGGAAGAGGGGCTACCAGTCCCTTAATCCTTTGCAGCTCCCATAGAGTTTAGCTCCTCCTATCCATTCCCTCTTTGTTTCTCAAAACCAGATCAAATTCAGCATATTTATCTCACAACATTTTAATTGATTGCATTTTGGCTGCTCTTTTTCTAACACTGTGAAGTTTTTTAAAAAGTAAAAATACAGTTACGATCTCATTGCAATTGATTGCATTTTGGCTGCTCTTTTTCTCACACTGTGAAGGTTTTAAAAAAGTAAAAATACAGTTACGATCTCATTGCACGCACTGTTTAACGACAAATCCGCATAGCGATGCGTTTTTTGAGATCATTTTTACGATCTCATTGCGATGTTTTCTATGGGCAAACATCACATTGCGATGATCAGTAAGCGTTTCTCTTTCCGATCTTCGCATTGCGATGTGTGGGAAACAGCTGGTTGGCAGTTCCAAAATGGCCGCCGGAAGAAGAAAATGGCCGCCCGCAGCGTTTTCGTGCCCTGCCCTCGCGTACCGAGGTGGCAAAAATGGCGGCCATATGGGGAATCTTCGCTTAATGGTGACCTTATCCCCCATAGGAACGCATTAAACAGAGTTTAATGCGTTCCTATGGGGTTTTCAGTTCCGTTTAGCGATGTTTCCGGATAGCGATTAACGTCGCTATGCGGGGCACCACTGTACAGCTTTTTACATGGGCATATGAGTTTTAGCCTTGCCTACTATGTTGTTTTGAACTATACTCTTGGTTGATTTCAATGTTTCAAAAGCATTTTGTTGATTTTAATGGTGTGGGGTTGTGGTTTTTTAAATTTCATATTTGTATAGTTTAACCTCGTTTTCTTTTTATTCTTTTGTCATTTGAGTGCTGTTTCTGAGTGGAAAGTGAAGTAAATAAAGAATAATCTTGCCATGCTAAGCATGATTTATGTAGAGTTGGAAGTTCAGAATAAAGTATGTTTTTATTAGAATTTTTTTATTGTCAAATTTATACTCCTATAACAAATGTAAAATATGGAATAAAAAGTGAAGATATTTAGCCATGCATTTATGTTACTAATATCTTTTTGTCTTTTTTCCCCTGCAAATAGAAAAGCTGAACAAATGTTTGGAGAAATGGAAGTCTGGAATGCAATATCAGAACGTGATCGCCTTGAAATCTATGAAGATGTCCTGTTCTTCCTATCAAAAAAAGAAAAAGTAATTAGTTTTTTTCTCCGTTCTCTAATTAGTGCTGGGATTTTCCATCTACTCTGTTCTACTTCTCTCTCATTTTCTCTGGATGGGCTTACTTTATACTTTCAGTAGAATTAACAAAACATTTTTGGTTTTGAAAGCACTTTTCTTCAGGGGAATTGGAAAAAAGCTGTCCAAAATGCATCACTTCCATGAACCAAATACTCACTTAGTAAGATTAGTTTTACGCATTTCTACAGATGTCTCACATGTTGCATTATGTTTTTAAAAGTTTAAAACATGGGGAGCAACATGATGTGGTAGTGTTATGCTCTAAGCAGTTTTGGAGAGTAGCCTTTCATTGTTAACACACTGGGAATGAAGAGTTGTATAATGCCTCCTTCATGTGAGAAATGACCACAATTCATCTGATGAGTGGAGGAGACAAATCTGTGTGGCTTCAACTTGTTAATAATCAAGAAGAAACTGACACCATTAAACATCCTGTGACTTTTTCCAGGAACAGGCCAAACAGTTAAAGAAGAGGAACTGGGAGGCACTGAAGAATATTCTGGACAACATGGCTAATGTTACGTATTGCACTACTTGGTCAGAAGCTCAACAGTATCTGATGGACAATCCCACATTTGCAGAAGATGAGGAACTTCAGAGTAAGGATAAGATATCTGAGTTACCTTTCTGTAGAAATTTCATGAAGTTTTCATTATGGTTGTAAACTCAAAGAAACCAAATCATGTATTTACCGTATTTTTTGCTCCATAAGACACACTTTTTCCCCTCCAAAATGTGGGGAGGAATGTCCGTGCGTCTTATGGACCAAAGGCAGCAATTTCGTCGCCGCTGGCCCCGTGGGGGGGAGAGCATCGCAAGGGTCCGGGTGAGCCTTCCAGGACCCTTGCGAGGCTCTCCCACCCCCCCACAGGGCCAGTACCTCTATCAATATCAAATAAGGTGGACTTAAATTGGGAGTTGATTAGGAAAATTTATAGTCTGCCTTTTTACCAACAGGTTCAATACAGATAAGAAACATAAAATTGTATAGCATAAACATTTAAGAAAAAATTATTTTGGTTGTTATTTTACTGCATTGAATGTGTTTTGGTGTTGCTTATGTTTTTTAGTATTGTAGTCGTTTGATCCTTTTTAGTATTTATGTACCGTATACAGTGTTGTTAGCGTAGATACTGTGTTTTAATTGGGTCATTTTTAAAGAGAAAGGCAGGATAAAATATTTTAAATAAATGAATAATTGCTATAATTTCAAGAAAATACAAAGTACTGCATCCCACACCCATTGTATGTGCCTTCTGGGGAAAGGACCAGGGGTATATATCGACAGAAGCTGATGTTTTCTGATCTGTATAGTCATAGTATGAGGTGATGTTATGTTAAGCAGTGGAGGCAGGCCTACAGTAGGTATTCTAACTGTTGAAACATTTTTAAAAGAATGATAACAAAAAAGTGACCGTTGTTTTCTATGTGTGTGTTCTGTATTGTTGCTGAATAGATTAAGCAACACCCCTTTCTTCGCACACTTATCGGCAAGTAAGGCCCATGCAACAAAGAGGATTGAATCCAGATATGTTCTTTGTTCTTAATGGGATGAGCCAACTAGGGGGAAGGGAATTTTTGTCTCAGCTAATCTCCCACATATCTTTCACTCCCCCCTTATATACATAGCTCCACCTCCTGGAGTCCCACCTCCTGCCCTGCTATAGGCAGTTGAGCTCCAGCATAACATTGATAGGCAGGTGACGTCATCGCAGCCGTCACAGTGAGTCTCTAAAGCGTCCTGGAACACACCCTAGGACCCTTTGGAGGCTCACCCTACACCCCCCCCCGCGCTGGGCCAGAGGGGGGGAAATCGCCAGCTTCTGGGACTCTTCTGAAGCTTCCCAAGCCTCAAGTCCCAGAAGCTGGTGATTTCGCCCCCTCTGACCCCCGGGGAGGCAGGGCGAGCCTCCAAAGGGTCCTAGGATGTGTTCCATAAGATGGACCTCTCCATAAGGCTCACCAGTTTTTAGGAGAAGAAAACAAATTAATTTTTTCCTGTTTTCTTCTCCTAAAAATTTGGTGCGTCTTGTGGAAAGGTGCGTCTTATGGAGCGAAAAATACAGTAGTTACTATATTTTGGTGGTACAATGATTTTTTATTGAACTGTCATAAATGCAGGCAGTGAGATTTTAAGAATAACCACATCTTTAAACTGTGATTTGAAGTAAATATTTAGGAAAATTGTTCAAATGAAAAGATACATTGTTTGTGCCCTGTTGCATTTTGGAAGAGTGCGCGGTACTTTCCTAAATGTACCATAAGTGTATCTGTTCATGTACTAAAAATTGTGTAGACATTTTCATTAGCTGTTACAGAGTTTCAAACGTCCCCATTGTAAAGTCTTTGAGATGCTTCATTATGGATTACTATTCAAAATCATTGTTAGTCTTGTACTGAAGTTTTAATTATTGTGGATTGTAATTATTTCGAAATGTCTTCTGATTTATAATGTACTTTGGAATTATTTATTTATAGCCTGTATACATCACCTTTCTTCTCGTAGGTGAACCAAGGCAGCTCACAACAATTAAATCTATAAAATGACAGTTTTATATTGTCATAGAAACTATATTAAAAAACAAACCTCTATCAATATCAAATAAGGTGGACTTAAATTGGGAGTTGATTAGGAAAATTTATAGTCTGCCTTTTTACCAACAGGTTCAATACAGATAAGAAACATAAAATTGTATAGCATAAACATTTAAGAAAAAATTATTTTGGTTGTTATTTTACTGCATTGAATGTGTTTTGGTGTTGCTTATGTTTTTTAGTATTGTAGTCGTTTGATCCTTTTTAGTATTTATGTACCGTATACAGTGTTGTTAGCGTAGATACTGTGTTTTAATTGGGTCATTTTTAAAGAGAAAGGCAGGATAAAATATTTTAAATAAATGAATAATTGCTATAATTTCAAGAAAATACAAAGTACTGCATCCCACACCCATTGTATGTGCCTTCTGGGGAAAGGACCAGGGGTATATATCGACAGAAGCTGATGTTTTCTGATCTGTATAGTCATAGTATGAGGTGATGTTATGTTAAGCAGTGGAGGCAGGCCTACAGTAGGTATTCTAACTGTTGAAACATTTTTAAAAGAATGATAACAAAAAAGTGACCGTTGTTTTCTATGTGTGTGTTCTGTATTGTTGCTGAATAGATTAAGCAACACCCCTTTCTTCGCACACTTACCGGCAAGTAAGGCCCATGCAACAAAAAGGATTGAATCCAGAGATGTTCTTTGTTCTGCCAACTAGGGGGAAGGGAATTTTTGTCTGTTCCTCCTTTCTCTTACAGATCACTCTGTCCCCTGAAAACTTGCTCTGAAGGTTTGGGGAAGCCTTTGGAACTGTGTAGGAGGAGCTGAAGGGAAAATGCAGAATTAGCAGAAGTCCTCTTTCTTGTTTCCTCCATTAAGCACCATTCTATATTTCAATCCCTTCCCCTTCATGGAAGGACCATCTGGATGAACTCACACTTATGGCTGAGCAAAAATGAGACTCAATTGTTAATGTACTAAAATGATGGTTTTTGTTATCTGTCAGCAGGGTAGTTTGAAATACATTTTTGAGATGCCATCTAAAGAAAGCATCAAGCTTGAGACCAGCAGCAGATTATTAGACTAGATACTGATTTTATACCAGTGTGGGTTTCCCCTCTTGCCTCTCTTATTTTAGTTCTGGCTAAAAGGGAATGGGTGCTTTCACATCTCCAAGGTATCTGTTGGAGACCAAATCCTAGTTCTGACACATGTTGAGTCAATGAGATCTAGTCTCAATAACATGATGCCTTAAGCTAGGTCTATTTTTTATGCCATGCTTTTCAAATAAAATTACTTATAATGTGAATTTTGATTCCATGAAGCTATAGTTGAACAATTTGCAAAATGGCAGTTTGTTGTAACCAGAAATCCCATTTGAAGTGGCCATTGTGGGCACTGGTGAGAAAGAGCTGCAGTAGGTTTCTGGTCCATGTGCCTCTCACCTTTTTTGGGCACGTGAAATAGGGATTAAAGCTTCTACTTTTTATATTAAATTGTAACCATTGTTTCCCAAGTATGGAGAGCAAGCTAGACTCAAATGGTGTTTGAAACTATGGTTAGGTTAAATTAAAAATTTGCAGGCATAGAAGAGGAGGAGAGGGGAGTGCATGTGTGCAGAATTTGCCGCAGCTTGCTCTTGTGGTGGTAAACAGGTTTTATGTCGCTTCTGAACCGTAGGTTTGCTTATAAACTTTACAAAACTTTCTGTCCTTTAAGAATGGATTTGCTGTCATACAGGTCTGATAGCAAATAAAGTTTCTGAAAATCCTGTGTACTGTTTTTTTTAGACATGGATAAAGAGGATGCATTGATCTGTTTTGAAGAACATATAAGGGCTTTGGAAAAGGAAGAAGAGGAAGAGAAACAAAAGAGCTTACTCAGGGAAAGGCGGCGGCAACGTAAAAACCGAGAATCTTTCCAGGTTAGAGAAGAAATGCTAACTTCAGATTTTTCAAGTTTCCCTTTGTCCATGAATTAGCCAGTGGTTCTTAACCTTGGGTTACTCAGGTGTTTTTGAACTGCAACTCCCAGAAACCCCAGCCAGCACAGCTGGTGGTGAAGGCTTCTGGGAGCTGCAGTCCAAAAACACTTCAATAACCCAAGGTTAAGAACCACTGAATTAGGCTAAGGTTGTAAGGTTGCCCCAGCCCTCTGTTACACAAAAGCATGTTGCATATTAGTTGGTTTTTTTTTAATTGAAAGTAATTCATTGATGTGGGGTTTAGGGGGAGTCCTTTTCACTGACTTCCAGGAGTGAATAACAGGAAGTTACTCATTCACTCACTCATTCACTCGCTCACTGAGAGAGAGAGATCAAACCAAACTGATCTCAGTCAGTTTCCTCTTCCTCCCTGTTCCAAGGCAGCAAAGTTTGGTGGAACCTTCTGTTGAGGCTGTGGTGTTGACGCTTGTGGGAAACTTGTGGAAGCTTAACTTTTCCCTCTGGATCTGTGATCCCTTTTCTTTTGGCTGCAGGTCTAATAATATATGTGTAACCTTTCCGTCCTTACCATGGCACATACACACATCCAAATTGCCTCTGGACAACAATTAGTGTGAATGAGAGAATTTTCAAAAGGCTGATTGTTGGGAGGGAGATGGAGATCCAGGTACTAATTGGGCAAGTTCTGTAGGTGTAGCAATGTATGGGTTCAGAGGCTCTCCACCACTCTCCTTGTGTAAATCCAATATATTGTTTAAGAGCTAGAAACTTGTCTTTATGATCTTGTGAGGCAGTAGACAAGACAGAGCTGGCGTGTTGCTTTTCAGTTAACAGGTTTTTGAATGCAATATTAAGAACTGCCCCATGTACTGTTTCTGCAGATATTTTTGGATGAGCTACATGAACATGGCCAGTTGCATTCAATGTCCTCATGGATGGAGTTATATCCAACTATAAGTTCTGATATTAGGTTTACTAACATGCTTGGTCAACCTGGTAAGTATTGTTTCTTTGCTTGTAAAATATATACAGGTAATGTATATTTACATTTCTAGTAGGTGGTTTGTTAGTCCACTCAGAAGTACATAGGTCTTTGGTTGAAGGAAGCTGTTCACCAATCTTGTTTGTTTCTTTAGGCTCAACAGCACTTGATCTCTTCAAATTTTATGTTGAGGATCTAAAAGCACGCTATCATGATGAAAAAAAGATAATAAAAGACATTTTAAAGGTAAGGCAAAATTAGTTATCAGTTGTCAGGGAAACCCAGGATCTTTATCTATTAAATGGTTAAAATTATTTTGATTGTTTTGTTGTGTGGAATCGGGATTCATGTCGGGTGGCAAGTTGTTTGTGCTGCTCTGGGACCCTTATGCTTCCTGGTGTCATGCATTTTGTTGTTTTGCAGGACAAAGGATTTGTAGTTGAAGTGAATACTTCTTTTGAAGAGTTTGTCACAGTTATCAGTTCCACTAAAAGAGCTACCACATTAGATGCTGGAAATATCAAACTGGCTTTCAATAGTGTAAGTGTAAAAATATTTTCATGATTTTGGTAACACTGTTCTTACTTTTAAAATGTGGAAAAAATAAAAATGCGAACTAAAATGGAATACCAATATTGTCAAATGGAAGAATATAAATTGTGGATCAGTGTTTGGTAGTAACACCAGGTTTTAATTTGATTGTATAATGAGGAGTTGCATGTAAGGAACCTGGTTTAGTTTCCTGTCATTTTATCTGAACAGCTAATGAGGGGTTTCCTTTGTTTCTCCAAACAGAATCTGATCCAAGGCTCATGTTTGTAATGCCAGATCATGGTTTTGAGGCATCTCTGAATCATCTCAGTGATGCAAACCAGATGATGTCAAAAAAGTGCCCTGTATTGCAAAACGGGACTGCGTTGATCTTTTTGTTTGTTGTGTTGCCTCTTTTAATGAATGGTTACTTGGCCTTATTTTAATTAGCTGCTGGAAAAAGCAGAAGCCCGTGAACGTGAGAGAGAGAAAGAAGAAGCTCGCAAAATGAAACGAAAAGAGTCTGCTTTTAAGAGCATGTTAAAACAAGCAACACCTCCTATCGAAATGGATGCAGTTTGGGAAGATGTAAGTAGATTCCATTCCATTTTGCAAGGTGTTATTTTTTAAAAAATCCTCAGTGAGAAACATGAATTTGTCATTTTTGTTTCAAACTTAGTCAAAACAATCTGGAAAGATGGTCCACATACATAAAGTATTGACTATCAGAAAAAAATATTTTAAAATAGTTTAATTTCTCAGCTCAAACAAAGTGACTTTTATGAAATCAGATGGCAATAGTAAAGAATGAAGACACTGGCAAGGAAGCTCTTCTCTAGATGTTCATCACAGAGCATGATTTACTCTGACTTCCTAAGCATAGTGTGATAATTTTGCAGCTGGAGGAAAAACATGCAGGTTGTTTTGGAAATACTTGAAAGCAATTCTGAAGAAAATTGGTATGGGACTGGATGAAGATGAATCATGAGCATTTCAAGCATTCATCTTTACAATGTGTTTTGATTAAGGCTCAGCTGTGCTCAGAACTGTAGCAGGATGTTGGTACAGGTACATATCAGAAAGGTTTTTTTTCTGTAGTAGAGTTTTTGCTATAGGAGAAAATGCAGAGTCTGGTTTATATGCAGGTGATATTTCTGAGTATTAGAAATTCCACTGATACAACTGTTTTCTGTATTCTTTCAAGATACAGTTTTTTTTTTCTGAAATGAAAAATGTATTTATTTACATAATGTTACTTTTAATACATTTGAGAAGCTAACTGTATACACAATTCATTTCTCATATATAGATTCGGGAAAGATTTGTGAAAGAACCAGCATTTGAAGATATCACATTAGAATCAGAAAGAAAAAGAATATTTAAAGATTTCATTTATTTACTAGAGGTAACACTATGGTCATATACTGTTGTACTGAGAAATAATCTGTTATATTTATATATAACCAGCCGCCCCACACACATCTAACTGAAAACTTCATAAACCAATCAGCCATAGACTGTGCTATGTGAATAATACTATGGTCATGCCTTTTTCCCCCATGCTAGTATTTGTCCTATTGACTAAGTAGGCATTGAATGTGTATATAAGCCAGGCAGAAGGATGAGGTCACAATTTTTATTTTTTTGTACTAGAAGAATTTCCAGGGTATGCAGGGATATTGTCTGCAATTATGAAAAACACAAATGTATCCATGTGGTGGACATCAAGGGGCACACATGCCTGTTGCCATCTATCACACCGCAGGTCTGGGTCTACAACCGATAAGCTGACATTGCCTGATGCTTGTTCCCTTCAGCTGGGACCAAAATGAAGGAAGGAAATTGGCCTTAGGACAATACATGTCCTCCCAAGTCAATTTGATACATGCCAGTAGGAGGTCTAAACAGCTTTTTATGGCCCCAGGAGCTTGGAGCACTGCTGCTGCTTGGATCCATGTGCCCACCAGCATAATGAGGCTTATGAATAGGAGAGAAATCCATGACATGGCACTGAATGAACAGGCAGGATACAGTGTGGTAGTTTAAGCTGCTGCTTCTCTCTCTCTCTCTCTCTCTCTCTCTCAACACCTACTCTGCAGAGGGGCTGTCAATGGAACAGGCTCCATGGATCAGGAAGACTACAGAATTTAGGGAGGGGTGTCAAAGGAGGCAACTTTTTTCTGATATTTGTTCCTCTATCACAAACTTACATTTGATTTAATTTTGAAATCATCATCTGAGCCACTAACTTTACTTCACAGTTTTATCATCCATCTATTTGGAAGAATGATGTAGAGGTCTCAGTGCTCTTCTTACTGGAAGTGCTTTTAACTATAGTTGGTTCCTATCTCTGAAGCATTTTTCCTCAAGAGAGTTGTTCAGTGTTTGCAGAATATGAGATGCTATTGAGGTTGCAAAGCCATTTTCAAACCTGCTAAAAGGATGCAATATTGTTTTATAATGCAAAAGTTGTAGAGGATGTCTCCTCAGAGTAAAAAATGTCTATAAATGTCTTATCAATATGTACCAAGTATATTAACTCTCAATAGTTTTATCAATGTATACTTGCCATTTCAATGGAGTAATTTCAATTCTTTTAATACTACAGCATGAATGTCAGCATCATCATTCAAAGAACAAGAAACATTCTAAAAAATCAAAGAAGCATCACAGAAAGAGGTCTCGCTCTCGCTCGGTAAGACTTTTAATTATAGACTGATTCATTGAATTCATTCTTGGCACCAAACTATTAATAGGGAGGAATGAAAGATAAAATATATTTGTTTTAAAGGGTTCAGAATCTGAGGATGATGACAGCCACTCAAAGAAAAAGAGGCAACGCTCAGACTCCCGATCGGTTTCTGAACACTCCTCCAGTGCGGAGTCTGGTAAAATAGCTTTCTCTTGCCAAAAGAAATAAAAGCTGTAGTGATGATGAGTTTCCATGGTTCTAAATCTCTGTTCCATTTTATAATCCATTACACAGAGAGAAGTTACAAGAAGTCAAAAAAACATAAAAAGAAGAGCAAAAAAAGGAGACACAAGTCTGTGAGTATCCCTCTTTTCTGGATATCGTAATATGCGAATCTTTCATTTTTTGACCTGTTTTGTGAACCAAAAACTAAGACATATTTCAGGCACAGTAATTTTGAGACCAATTCTTTTTTTCATGCCATGTTGCACGATAATGGTTTTTAACTGTAAAGAAATAGTAATAATTGGAGAGCAGTGTAGTAATTAATGCATATGTGAAATGTTGTGGTTATATATATTCTACCTTTTATTTTCATAAAATTATTTTAGAACCTTGTCTTTCTTTTTAAATGAATCATTTTAGCTTATTTTCTTGATAGTAATGAGTACTGTCCTGAAAGCTTGCAGCCTGCTGTCACAGAAGGCCAGACTGATATCTCTTTTGAGCTAGAAGGCATGTTGTTAAATGTTCTTACAAAGCCACCCACTGGTTTTAACACTAAGGAATTGAATTGCATTTGGAAGGCCTGAATTGAACAACGTTGTAATATTGTAAAGGTCTGTATCACAGCATAGGCTGCACCAGACTGAAACAGGAGGAAGAATTTTTACTGTATCATAGAATAAGGAAAAGGAACTCCAAGTAAGCCCATAGGTCAATCTGGTTTGAAAGAACATGTCTTGCAGTTGTAGAGTTTTTGGATTGTGGAAGTTGTGTTGAATAACTGGCCAAAATTCTGTTGTTTAGCATAAGCTGATTTGTAATTTTCAGTCCATTACTTCCTGGTAAACAAAGCATCTCTGCTGCAATTCTTGGGGGGAGGGGGGAACACCTGCATGCATTCAGCAAGTCCCAGTGCACATGTACACTTCAAGGAATCATGGCAGGGATGGTTTGTTTACCAGGGAGGAACATCCCTGGTAAACTTGCGCTATTTGGCTTACGTTAAGCAACAGGATTTCAGTCATTGCTTTTAGGTTAGATGTCACTTATTTCTGGTTTTATATACTGACCAGAATATAGTGAAATGGTATTGACACAAGGATTAGCTGTGTTTTAAACAGATAATTCCCCCCCCCAACCGGAATCTTTCAGAACAAGAATATCTTGGTGCTGCTTTAGTGTATTTGTCATAACCATTAAGAGAATGAGGCTACAGAAGGAAAAATATGTTTTCTATGGGGGTAGACTGATATTTTCTCTTAGAAATGTTCTCAGGGTTGGGCAAGACCCTCAAGTTACTACCAACTGGTGTATTAAATGGATTAGGAAGACTGCTTTATGGATTTTTGAACATTGATTTAGGCTCTAAAGGACGCTTGGCTTGCTCAAACAATGAGCCAGCATTTTTGGCGTGAATCTCTGGAATTCATGGGAGATAAATGGTCCCCCTGGCCATTGGTTCACAAGTGCAGCCTTTCCTCTGCACCCTTGATTTATACTGATTTATTTTGTACAGGATTCCCCTGAATCAGATGCTGATAGAGAAAGAGACAAAAAAGAGAGAGAAAATGAAAAGGAAAGAAGTAGACAAAGATCTGAGTCTAAGCATAAATCACCTCCTAAGAAGCGACCTGGGAAAGATTCTGTAAGTTTGCTTGGTTTTCTTGTGCTTTGCTACAGCTTTGCTTTTATGGGGGAAATCCCATTCAGCTAAACTTGTTTGTTATTGTTGCTTGTTTTGAATCTTCTTGTGCGCCGTCTTCAGGATGTATGCAGATGGCTGCTTGTGCTGGGGAGGTGGCATGCAAGAATGAGGCTGTCACTTTTGCCCAGACCGCCCATGTTTGATGGAGAGGACAGGGTGTTGTTGTGGTGAAGGTCATCCTTGTCCCAGCACAGAAAGTGCTCCTGCTAGTTTGAAGCACTGGGTAAAGAGCATCACTTGAATGATCAGAGCAGCTGCTTCTTTGGGAAGACCTGTTTTTTACCAGGGTAGTCCTGTTCCCTAAAGCGGAGGTCGTCAACGACCGGTCCGCGGCCCATTGCCGGTCCCTGGCTTGAGCCCGACCAGGCCGCCAAGACAGACCCCCCCCGCATGCACTCCCCTTCCCACAGCTGCTTTGCACGCGTGTGTGCCGGTGCTGGCGTGAGTCCTCCCTCACCCCTTCCCGCGAGCCCCTGCGGGCGCAAAGCAGCTGTGGGGAGGGGAGGTTGTGCATGGGGGGTGGGGAGAGGTCTGTCTTGGCGGCCCAGCCCAGCGGCGGCGACCGGGGTTGGCAAGAGCCAGGAGGGAGAGCAAGGCCCGGGTGGCGCCGGCGGCAGAGGCAACGGGGGGGGGGGTCTTGGCAAGAACCAGGAGGGAGAGCACGGCCCGGGTGCTCTCCTCCCGGCAGCAACGGCGGCGACGGGGGTGGGGGGTTGACAAAAGCCAGGTAAAATAAAATAAAAATAAAAAAAGACTCGGCACACACTTCCTCACCCCTTCAAGCATGCGCCCGCGTGCAGGAGTGGGGTGGGCATGCGGGTGTGCAGGCACTCCTGTGCATGCGTGAAGCAGTGAGGGAACGCGCACGGCTATGGCACGCACACTCCCCAACCACTGCACCCGTGCATCAGCGAGGGCAAGCACGAAGGGCCGCCCCACCTCCCTCAGAGACTCCCCCAGTCCGCACTAGTAAAAATGTTGGGGAACACTGCCCTATAGCATTATCAGGCAGCTGTAACAGTGCTCAAAGTAGAGCAGACTGGGATAAGGCCAGATATATATGGGGTGGGTGGGGTGAATGTGCTGAGCAGTTGCACTTCTTTAAATTTTCGAGGCTGACTATTTTGAATGGTAGAAGTGTGAGATCTTTATTCCTAGTAGTGTCCAAATCAGTTTTTAATACATGTGAAATAACAAATAGCTGAATTTTTTACTATGCAGAGGAGTGTACCAATGATTTTCATTAACCTTTTGCAGGGCAATTGGGATACCTCTGGTAGCGAATTAAGTGAAGGTGAATTAGAAAAACAAAGAAGGACCCTCTTGGAGCAACTGGACGAAGATCAATAAGAAAATATTTATACCAAATATGTTTACAATGTGATTTAATAAAAAAAAATATAAATGACTGATTTCAGGGAATGGATTCCCATATTCTGAGTTCCACTGGCACAGCAATGGCTTTCCAGTTCAACTGTGTAATTAAATAGCTCAATTACCATTACATGCCTGGCAGCAAATTGGCAGAATTTTCTGTTCTGAAAAGCTAGGCAGTCTGTATATACCCCATACACCTTGACATTCTCCTGAGAGCACATTCAGATGAGCAGATAATTTTTATTTTTTGAGCCGTTTCAAGAGCGGCTTGGAAAAGTACTTGAGCTTTTCAGGTCTCTACATCCTGTATGGAACAGCAATGTTAGAAAAGCTTAAATCTTTGTTTCTGTGTCACATAAGGTCTTCTAAGAGGTGGGAAGAGGTGGTTTCTTTGGAAAGATGATGTGATTTTCTTGTTGCTCCACTGCTGTTTTTTTAATGATTCTTTTTTTTTCTTTGCAAATGGAGGAAAAGGAAAAAAATATTTTTCTTGATTTACGGTAGTACACAAACCAGGGTTGGGTTTTTGTGCATTACCTTGCTGGCCAAACTAATGCTAGTGATTTCTGTTGATTTGACTTTAGTTTGAAATGTACAAGTTTCATTCTGAGGTGCATTTTTAGTGTCATATTTTAAAACTGTGAAAAATAGGCGATTAATTAAAATCTTAATAGGCCCTTAATTATACAGGCATTAAAATTGGCTGATGTGATAACATAGCTACCCTTTTTTATTAGAGGATAAAAATCTGATATATGTGGAAAAAAGAAATAAAAATAAAATTGGCAGTGGGCATTATTTTAGTATCAATCCAGTGTTACAGAAAACCAGAGTGTAAATTAATTGCAATCTGTTGCCTTAAGGACTTCCTGAAGAATGTACCACCAAATTCCGAAAAGCAGCTGCAATACTCTCTTGTCTAGGAAATCAGTGTCGAGATTAATACTTTTTACTTTTGAGACATGTTGACCTGATGTTTAAAAACTTTGTCTCATTTTGTTGTGTTCTTTTTCCTTTGTACTAAATGGCTTATTACTAGCCTTGATCAGATGAATACTTTCTGCCCTATACATTCTAGAGTATTGACTACTGTGGTACAGACTCTAAAATCTTTCTGATTTGAATATTTTTGTACATTTTTATCACTTATTAAACCTTGTCTTTTAGCGTGTACTAGTATTTTTGGGTTTTGGCTTTTTAAAAATACTGTACAGCTTGACACATAAGGATTTCACATACTTTCACTTGTTGCTTTGAAGATTGCATATAGGAGTTCAACTCTAATGCAGTTCAAATGCATATTTAGTCATAGCAAACAAAAGCCATGTTCAAGTTCAGTCATAGTGATGTTGTGGAATAAATACTTCTATGGTTGTATTAATTTGGAGGACACTTTTTTGTTACAGTAATTATGAATTGGTTATGCAAATAACTGCTATTTCACAGCAAGTCTGTACACATCTTTAGATCTTACTAATTTAACTGCAACCTTTACATATAACAGTTTGCACAAAGTGCAGGCAAAATACTTGATTTGGCAAGATAGTTGCTTGCGTCCAGATATTTTATGAGGGGAACTTTGCTTATGGGACTTTCTTACCAGAGTAAAAGAGGAGGAGGGGTCATTGTCCTTGCAGCACGCTCTAGAACCGTGTGAGAGGTAATGGGGAAATGCGGGTTTATAAAAAAAATCTTTTTATAATAGATGTTTCTCTGCAGGATTGCAGTTCTTCTGCAAGTAAGAATATTCAGATCATGTATAACGAAACAAATTAGTCCTTATGCAAACTGGTCATTGGTTAATAAAAAACAGGTTAAAAGCACAGTAAAAAGACTAGGAGATTACTGACGGTGTTTTGTTTCAAGATTTTGTGACAGCGGTTACAGTGTTTGCAAAGTTGAAACATGGCTTCACACAATTTCTGGAATCTAGGTTCAGAATATAAGTGACTTCAGTATGTACAGTACTCTCAATCCTGTAAAAAATAACTGTTGGCTTGTTTTGAGAAAGTGCAAGAGCTTGTCAAATTACATACCCGTACCCACACCTAAGTACAACACATAGCTATTATGCTTAACATTTAATTATATAGTGAAATAGATGTGAGAGAGTATCAAAGTGCTAAACCACATGGGATTTTTTAATGATTAGCCCTCTTTTCTCTCTCCGATGCAGGAGTATTTATGTAAGATATTTTCATATTGCCTTGCATAATTTACATGCAGAAACATGTTTCTACGTAAATATTACTTTTTAAAGCTTTGTCTTTATTTTTCCATTAAAATAAATATAAAATTAAGTCACTGTTTATAGTTCTCCAGAATGTCATGTACTGCCAGTTTCCTACTGTTCTTTGAGGAACACTTTGCAGCTTTAACTTCATTTGCCATTTCACTTACTCATACATGGTCATAAATTCAATAAAAACACTGGTGTTCCTCATGCATTCACAAAATGGCATGTAATCACACTGTTTGTTTGGACACCGTACTAGAATCAAAGGACAAGATTGGGTGTGTTAATTAACTTTAAAAAGGGAAGAGGCAAAACCCTTCGCCCCTTGCTGTACAAGAACATTTCACTGGATGTGGGTCATCGGGAGCAAATTACTTGTTTAGAAGGCACTTTGGAACAGAATGTGGGCTAAAATAGGAAGAATCTATTAAAGAGGGAGATCAAAAAGTCACATATGATGAAGAACACTTGTGTAAAGTAGCTTCTTGTTCATTTATGATGTTCCTATGACTCTTTAAAGTCTCTCTGGAGAAGAAGAGGACTGCTGAACAGAATAGAGGGGAAGTATGTGTGTGTGAATGAAAGTGAGAGAGAAATGGAACTGGCATTTTGAAAAAGTACAACTTTGGATCCAACATAGTGCATTCAGTCAAATCTGCACTTGGGCATTTCTCAAAGAATTGGGCTGGTGGGATTGACTTGCTCCGCTCCATAGAATTGTTGAGATTTTCAAGCTAGTATTTGGTTGGGGCAAACACCACAGAATGCTGTGTGTGTGTTTTGTGTGTGCTTCTTCCCTACTGGTCATGCAAGGAGGTATTCAGCAGCTGACTACATACATGGCAATTCCTGTTTAAAGCAACGGGACACTCTCCAGCTTGTGTAATTGCAAGCCAGAGTGCCAAAACAAATGTGGAGCACTCCAGGTTTTTAGGTGGATACTAATCTTTACTAAAACAGTCTGTATCATGAGAAGTGGTTTTCCTCCTCTTTTTATCCCATCAGTTCTTTAATTTTTCTAATAGTGCTCTTACTGTTCTTCCTGTTTTCACTATTTCACTTGCTAAACAAACAATGTCATGCAGCAGCATCTGGTTCAGCACTGCTGAATACACAAGACAGTTTCCGTAAAGTGTTAAACAGGTCATTAATGGTGAGAATCCTGGGAGTCCTCATGCAAAGTTTGCATAGCCTTGCACAGCTAACTGATGAGGTATCAGGATACATGCTTTTCAATTTGTTGAATAAAAATCTAAAAATGCTCTGAATCACTGGTAGTAGTGTAAATAGTTTATTCAATCGTATGCCATGAACAGATCAGAAAAGTAACATGAACTGCTTTTATAAAACACCTATAATATTGCTAAGAAGCAGGTCTATTACTAGATAAAATATCTTAAGAGAACATGCCAATATTACAACCTACTTGTTCATATTTAAATATTGTAATACATTTTGCATTGCTGCAGCTGTTTCACTGCCCTTATATTGTCAGATTAAGGGTGTTTGTATATGGATACCAAAATTAGAATCCTAATCTTTCACTGAAGGAAAAATGTGTAATTGTGGCATGTTCTCTTAGCATGTCAAGTACAAATTACCATAAATGGAGAGTGCTATTGGCAGTTGTTTTAAAATAATTTTTCTGTAAATAGGTAAGCAAATGTCAATGTAATAATTTTTGAACCCCAAACAGTCCATTTAGTTAAATATAAAACAAAACAAAACTATAAGTTAAAATAACATTCAGATCAGTATAGCACAGGCTGATGCATTTTAAACAATATTTACAATATTACCCCAAGGCTAGAGTGGGAATTAAAGAGAAGTGTAAAAACCATAAAAAAGCACCAATTTTGTAGCAAAATATCTGTACATTTAAAAACATCATATAGCTACACATTATCAAAGGAATATGGGACCTTTACCAGTGGTTCACATAAGCACAACAAAATAGAAAAGAATTAAGTGGTTAAATACTATACAATAAATTTTACAATTAAGATAGTGATGCAGTGCTACCAGGTACGGTATGCTGCAACCAAGATATCCCTTAACTTCCAGTTTTTGACTTTGGAACAAATCAAGTGCCCTGATTTGTAGCAGTGTATATGGATCTGCAACAGCCACTGTTGGCAATTAAAAGTTAACTTTGAGATACTTAATGTGCTCTAAGCCTGAAATGCAAGTGATAAGGATCTAAAGGAGGATCTCCACAAAGATAAATTCAATGTATCTTCCAAATGAATTTTTCATCACTGCATTATGTGCACTGGCTTGCGAATCCCCTTTCACACCCTAATGTCAAGTGGTTTTAAAATGCCTGACTTCATGTCTGACTTGCTGCCTTGGTTCCTGCTTTTTGGTGGGTGAGGGCAAAGCTGTTCTGTTTTAGCCCTGAGAGCACACGCAGCAATGAGAACATACTAAATTCCATAGTTAGCTGCACTTCAATGAAGAGAGCTTGAACATAATCTGACCTGGACTGCTGCAAAGTGCCAAAACAGCTGGTTAATAAATTTCCATTTATGCTGAATGGAGATGCAAAGTCATTCTCGGAGGGTATCCAAGGTTTTCTTAGCAGGGCACCAAATTTTCACTGTTCTGACAAATGAACAGTTGTGGTCCTCAGGAATTCTTAATACTGCTTATTGAGAAGTTAATACCTTAGTACTAATTAATAAATAACAATGTTACTCAAAAGCTGCCTCTACCTGCAGATCACAGTCATCAGAGTTTCATCCATCATCTCTGTTCACATTGTTAACCCACTGGCATATACTAGAATCTGAAAGCAGGCAAGAATTTATAATAAAAGCCTTAGATTACCTCATCTTATTTACAGAAGAAATCCCACCATCCAAGCCTTCTGTATCCCAATTAACTCCTACCTTATAAACTATACTCACATTTACCCCAACTCCTGTTTTAAGGATGTCTCTCCAACCTTAAAACAAGTGAACTTTCTTTAAGTGTACAATTTAATGGGTTTCCCTTCCTTTATATATGGTAAGTCCTTAGGTATGCATATATCTACATATGCATATAGAAAATTAATTAAGTGCAGCTGAAGTTCAAAGTTAACTTCTCAAATTGTCCAGGAATGTACTGAAATCATAAGAACAAAAAAATAATCCACAGCATCTCATTCTAAGTATTACCTATTTACAACCAGTTATGAAATCAAGAAAGCTGACTTGAAGGCCATTTACTAAATTGTATGCAACAACGAAAAATACAATATGTATTTTACATTTTGGTTAAAAACACTGAACAAATTTATTGGAGTAAAAAGATAATCAAACAAAGTCCTATTGCTTTGATTAATTTGAGCAGGTTCTTGAAATTTAGGCACTTGGTAGCTACAGTTACATGGAGAATCCATTATTTTCCTCTTTTAAAAAAAAACATTTATTTTGTGCATTCCTATGCATTTTCTGTTATTGTTGAGCCCTTCAGTAGATAAACTAATGTACTGTGATCAAGGCCATAATTAAAATGGTGGCGCAAATATAGGTCACATGGGAAAGAAGTGGTCACGCTCACTTTCTACTTTACACATGCAAATTTCCCCAGTCTAGCTCACATGGTTATTTCAGCACCATTGAGAGCACGCAAATTTTGATCATCGAAACGCCGCCTCACGCTTCTTCTCACCGCATCGGCTCGTCTGTAGGGCTGGTTCCTAAGATCTGTAGGGAGGAAACATTCAAGCGTCAGAAAGTTGCCAGCCTGTGTCTTTGGATCTAGACAAGGAAAAGAGTCCTGCTGGTAGCCAATCAAAGCAGCTTGAAGCGAAAGAGGAAAGGGACTGTTTAAACCTATGGAGAACTGAGCAAATTACAGAGATAGGTCTTCACTAATTACTAAGAGATGCAGTATGTGGAATTTCTACCTATCAGGCTTTAATGCAGGGCAGAGTGGGCTGACAATTATATTATCTTTGAGTGGTAGCCATAGGGACAGGTGGGATAGGTAACTGGAGGAAAAGGCATCAGCTTTGGGAGCAACTGCTTGTTTGGGCCGCCCCCACCACCACCCATCTCAGAGTCTCCCTGCACATTAAAAGTTTTCATTCCATTTCTCCCTGGCGTACACAACCACAAAGTGTAGGGAGATTTGGATACAGCTTGCATTCACCCTAAGTTCTGCCACTGGGAGGACTAGCACCACCATGGATCAGCTTCCAATGCATGTTTCTGGTTTGAAAGAACAAAAAGGGAAAGATGGATCTTTTTACAAAACCACACAGGGGATCACAGAAGGGTTTGGCACTAATGCTATGGGCATGACCTTTCCCCCATCTTCTACCAACTATGAATGTGACTCCTTCATTTCAGCGTGTTACCATTTTCTTCTTCCTATGGGAGAAGAATCTATTGGGTTTGCTCAAAAAGCAAAACAGAGGAAAGCTTTACAGCATGTGCACTGTAACAAGTTTGCAATTTTTGCTGTGTTTCCTTCTTTTAAAATCTACCACCATAGGCACTAGTCTCTTCCTGTCTGTCTTCCCCTCTCTGCTGAAGAACCTTCAGCCTTTTTTAATACCCTAGCTAAGTGGCACAGTTTCCAGGCAGTAAGCATTTACATGACTATTCCCATCTTTTAAAGATCCTGAGCCTTTGCCCTTTGACCTTCTTGTGGATTTAGCAGGGGTTTGTGTGCCCTCTACTCCTCCTCCTGTTGAAGCAGCAGGCAGGTGCTAACAGCAGCAAAAAATCAGCCTAGTAGCTGGGAAATGCTGCTACTTGCCTTTTCCATTCTCCCACAATGTCCTGGGGTTCCAAACAAGAATGGAGCCTCAAACACACCAAACAAGACTTAAAACAGCACTCGGAAAAGTTTTGCTACTATTTGCATATATCTGTTGCCTTGAGAAAAAAGGAAAGCAGGGCAGCGGGCTCTCTAGAACAGTGGTCCCCTACCTCCAGATGTTCTTGGACTTCAACTCCCAGAAATCCTGGCCAGCAGAGATTGTGCGAGCTGTAGTCCAAGAACATCTGGAGGCCCAAGGTTGGGGACCACTGCTCTAGAGGACTCTGACCATGAGCGACTGCTGGACCAGCTCCTTTCCAGAATAACGTAACTGCAAGAAAACTTTTAGGTAAAGCAGAACATGGGATGCAAGGCAACCTTAGCAGATGTTGGCCCATACATTACTAACAGTGGTTACAGCCAAATCATTCTGGAGAAAAGTGGATCATATGGATTTGCGGTTTCATCCCAGAGCAGTATCACCTGGTCAGGGAGGGGCCAACCAGGGGAGCCTTAACAGGAACCAAATGGATGGTCCTGCCCCCAGTATCTTGCACTGAAGGCAAAACCACTGACTCTATCCAGATTTGCTTCGTCTTTCATCAAGAGGCTCCCCCAACACTTCCTCTACCTAATGAAAGGATACACTCGTATCACATACGAATGAGCAAGAACTGAATACTCTTTGGGTTTTTGGGGGCTGTTTTTTTTATGCCATATTCTCGCTCCTGTACAAGATGAGCAAATACAGAAAATTGTTGTTTTAAAGAAATGTTGCCTCCCACATATAACTAACCTCTACCCACTCGAGCCTGGCTGTCTTTCTCGTGCTGCAGTGCCCTAGTTCCCAAACGATGACTGCAAGAAGCCAGCCCAATGCTCTCAGGGGCTGAAGACGTATCTCTGTGTAAGGAGGGCTCTTTAGGGCCTCTTATCGCAGGGCAAAGAAAGGCCGAAGGCATTGCCTGGAGCCCCCATGCTCATCCCTGCCCTAGAGCTGCCCCTACGATTGGAGGCAAGAAGGCAAAGCCGCAGTGCAGCCCTGTGGGTAGAGGAACGGGGCTGAACACCCATCCCTTAGACAGAAGTGTTCAGGAGGAGCCACCACATTCTAGCAGAGAGAGAAATAACCTCGCTGCAATCACAGGAGTTTCTGTAAGCAAAATAAAGGTGGGGGAGCCGATTGTAAAGATCCAATTTAAGCAGTGAAGAACTGAACACTCCCCATTTCTGTTTTCCTAGATTTTGTTTCATTAGCAACGGCTTCAGCCATGGTCTTTGCGTGATCCCAGTAGGGAGAAAATGCAAAGAGACCTCTGCACTTCAGCTCCCCCTCCCCCGAGATATTGTGCACGGCATGCCTTCCTTTGGCACCGTGAATTTTGTCCCGTCCTTGGCCTTGCCTCTTCTATTACAACAATCTGATATCCAGACATAGAGAGGAAGTTTTTTCACAGCATTCATATCTGGAAACGCTTATTTGAGAAAAATGTTTCTGCGTTGCTTTTGAGGACTCAGGAACAGTCCTCAAAAGCAGCTGTAAAAAGTTGGCAACCCACATTTTAATTGTTTAGAGTTGCTTAGCATTGTTTCACATTATGTCTGGACCTTTTAATGCTTAGTTATACCTAGGCCACCTGTTTTGCCATCGTTCAGTTTAGCTTGGCTTTATGTTGGAACTCTTGGTACTTTTTAATTAACTTGATTGTTTTTATCTTGATGATCTGTTCTGTTTTGTCATATTATATTATCACATTTGTATTTCTTGTGATGCAAAGTTTCTAGAGTAGTACCTAGCAGGCGGTGCACATGTTAAACAAACAGACAGACAGACAGACTAATAAATAAATACCCTGCCCCCAAATCTTTGGATACAGGTTGGGATACAAATATTTTAATGAATGAGTAAATTAATAAGCCTGCTTTGTGATTTTCAGTCCACCACTCAACCCTTCTGGCTACTACAAGATGCACTTTGTAGACAACAACTCTTCCATCTAGAAAGGGGGCAAACAACTAGGTGTGTGAGGTGACAGTGGTGTCATTCAGTGCAACCAAAGTCGGCCAACTGATCAGTCCCAGATGCTAGGTGTGGCAGGAAAGACTTAAAGGTGTGGAAGAAAGGCAAACCCTCTACGTCCCTTCAGCTTAATACTCCCTTATGTGACTTGACTGTATTCTGCAGCAGGCATTTTTCTGTGTGGCATACAGAGAGAGGAGGAAGCTAGGTAAAAAGTGATGCTTGCCAGCTCTGTGTATCCTCCACCACCGGTGTGCTAGAAGAAATCCTTACCCTCGAGTGAACATTTGGAAATTTAGTGATATTATTCTTCTTTAAGGCTAAACAGAAGGGAAAAAAAACACAGAATGATGGTTAAGTTAAAAATGGGATGGAACATGAAGAGCAACTCAACTCAGTGCCCAAAAGCAAAAAAAAAAAAAAAAAAAGGAAACAAAATAAAAATTAAAAATCCCACACGTGTTAGCAAGTCAAGCAAGAGTGGGGGAAGCCAAAGCTGAAAGGGGGTTAAAAAGAGAATGGACAGGAAGTGGTGATCACCCCTAGCCTCACGAGGACTCATAAAGCTCCAAGCTGCTTTGAACAGTGGCTCCAGGATGACTATACAGCAATTTCACTTGAAAGTGCAACCAGGAGCTGGCCTCCCAAGAGACAGCCTTCTCCTTGGAAAGCCCTCATGAAAAGGTAATATTGCCCCTGTCAGAAATGAAATGCTGCTTTCTTTCAGATCCTTGGTTCCTGCATCCAAGACATCAGCATTAACAGATACATGCAGATACATGCACAGTTTTAACAGCTTACATCATAAGATATAAATGAATCCAGTTCCATGACAATCAGTTTGGGACACCTACTATCGGGAGACAATTTTGAGAGAGCATCCATGACAATCAGTTTGGGACACCTACTACTATATCGGGAGACAATTTTGAGAGAGCGCTCTGCTATCCAATATGGATGTGACCTTCATCCAAGCTACCTGTCTTTCATTCCAGGCTCCAGGTGAGCCATCCTGAGAGCTATCTAACATTTATGTGGGTCATGTGTGTGTATATATCTATGACCCTGCAGCTTCTGCCATATTATGGCCTCCGTAATCCTTTACCATTGGCCATGTTGGCGGGATCTCCCATTACAGCTGGAAGGCCGTCGCTAGTTTCCCCACTCGTGATATAGATCCCCTTATAGCTTGGTTCAGAAAACCAGATCTGGTTCCAATACTGCAATCTCTCTGGGTCCTGTTTGTGTCCAGTCTCTTCCCCAGAGGAACCAACTGATCAAAAAGCCTAGTGTTATGTAGCTCTGAAGAGATTTCCAATTCAATTGGCATGGAACTGAAACTAACATGACTTATGTACGTGACAAGATGAAAAGGACAATGTAGGGTCTTAGCTGACTCTAGATCTCACGTGCAAAGACAAGCGTGCAAGAAATGATGAGAATGGCCACCAGTGTGGAAATGAGCTCATACAAATCACAAAAGAAAAGGATTCTCTCTTGGAAAGCCCATGAAGGTTCAAGCTTAGCCCATGCGTACACACCACAATGTAAATTAGAAGCAGCTCGGGGAGTTAGCAGGATTCATGCAGAAGAGATCCATTTGATAAGGAAAGGGGGTGCAAGGGCCCAGGGAAGAGGACATAGAAAAACCAAGTGAACCGTCTGTCACACAGATCATTGTGGCATGCAAACATCTCTTCCGAATCGTGGAGGCTGGCTTGAAGCACAGCTGGCATGGGGTCTTAGTGACATTTGTGTGACGTCCAACACTTGCTGTTCTATGGCGTGTAGCCCACAGACCGGTGGTGCCTCTGAAAACGCAAATGGTGGAGTGAAACACCCCAGAGGTCTGATGGGGAGGAGCAAAAAAAGGTTCACTGGCAGAGAAGAGCGTGCAATGAGATGACCATGGCAATGCAACTCCATCATGAATCCATTCAACAGCCACATGGCCTGACACAACAACTGAGGGGGTGAGGGAACGTCAAAAACCTACAGCAACCTTTTTTATATATAAAGATCATCAGGTGTGAAAGAGGAATAGTTTAGTAATGGAATTCCTCTGTGAGAACAGGTTCGCAGAAAAACCGAGAGCCACGCTTGGCCGTTCGAGCGGTAAAGGGCACTGTCTTCAGCACTGCATGGAAAATAATAGCCAAACAAGACAAAATACAGTAAGAAGCAAAGATCTGTTGCATTAGTACATTGTTAGTGCTTTATTATTAAGAAGGGCCTGAGATGGCTCCTCGGTCATTTAACCACAATAGGATCTGATTGGCTGGGACTGCTGTCACTATCTTTTTTTTCCTTTTCTTTTTCTTTTTTTCTTTTTCTTTTTTTGGCCATCAGAGAAGTGTGTGGGCACGTAAGAGGAACAAGGTGATGTGTACAGCTTTATGACCACACAGTTTTCCTTTGCATGGGAGCTTCCACTCTCTGCCCCCACAAACCCCACCTAAAGGTTTGTTTGGTTCTTCCTGGATCTCAGTGGAATGAAATTATAACAATAACAGGTCCATCAAGGAGGCCCCAGGTGAGATTTCATACAGGAACAACTCATTGTTTATAACTGAAAATCACACATCAGAAGTTCCTGCAATTCTAATGAAGTCCCCATGGAACAAGGCTTTGTACAGGTGTGCATATTGTTGCTTTTTTTTTTCAAACTAGAGCAAAAAAGTATGCCTTGTGTTTGGTAATGACTTTTTATACTCAGAAACCTAATACTAGGCATACCCAATCCTGGAGAAATGTGTCAGTGATTCTTCATGTCTACGTATAATTAGACGCCAGTTGTTTCCGCAATGGCCATAGCCGGCTAAGTCAAAAGTTAGTTGGGTAACCTGGACATAGCAGGAATGTTCCTCCCAATATTCTATAAATCAGGCCAGCCATGGTTATCTTATTGTATTCAATTCTGGTTTGCCAAAAGTGGCAAGTGTTACTTAAATTACCAGACAAAAAGGCAGCTCTGAAGCTCTAAATCACTGAGCAATCCAGATCAAATCATGTCCTCAAGGAGGCACTGAATGCAGCAGCCATCGCAGGTAGTAGCATTTTAAGGACAGCACACACTGCCGAAGACAAGGTTAAGCACCAGGAGCGTCACATGAAGGCGTATTCAAGGACTGCTACAGCATGCATCTGTTGCGCACAGACAGATCGAACAAGGCCCGGAATGGTCTGTATGGCTTGAGACATGACAGCATGCGGAGGTGAAGAAGAACTTTCCAGAAAAACAAACACCAATAGGGACACAGCAAAGTCTCTGTTGCCGCCAGACCTGAGGCTTTGGCGGGGCCCTCACCAAAGTAGTGGGAGATAAAAGGGCCTGGTTTGTTAAATGACCGGCACATCAGATTACTGTCCCTGAAAACAACCAGTTGCACTCTCTGCACAACTCTAACAAAGGGAAAGCTATGAATAAAAACAGGGTGGGGGGCTCTGGCGTTGGTGCCTTTCTCCTCCTTACCGGTGATGATATCTTCAATAGCCCCGTCCTTCCCCTCATACACGTGTCTGTTGTCCTTGACTTGCCGCCGCCTGAGCTCTGCGATCAGCTCCTGCTGCTGCCGCTTGGTTTTATGAGACGGAGACTGAAAGGGAGCAGAAACAGGAAGGGTGGTGAGGGAGGGAGGAAGGCTATGTGCGCAGCGAGAGAGCGCTCTCTGCAGGAAGGGCAGACACACGTTTCAGTCGGGTGGAGAACGCGGGGAAATGGCAGCCAGAGGCAGCTCACAGGCCTTAGTCCACTGAGCTCACCCCTGTTTAGGCCAAGGGGGGGCATGTGCCCTCCTGCAAACCCCCATCCATCCCTATCGAGATTGATTTTAGGGAGAAAAATGCTTGGGACCAAAAAGCCCCACTCTGCCCTCTAGGGTGTGTGCAGGGACAAATCCGTCCTATTTTGAGGGGGGGGCACCTGGCCGATGCCTCCCACTCCCATTTGAAATAGAATATGTAAAAAAGAGGTGAAAAGGCTTCTGGGTTTTTTTTCAGTTGGAAAAAACAATATAAACACCCCATTTTTGTAAGGAAAAAATGATGGTATGGGGGTCACAGGAGCAGCCCTCCAGGGTTCAGGGGCCGTCGTGTGAAGCCCCTGGATTTCTGCCCACCCCTGGCTGACATGACCACCTGCTTTGTAAGGCTTCAGACAAAACAAAAACACGCTTCATCAGTTCTGCCTGAAGGCAGGCACTGGACTTGGACTCTTTTGACACGTCAAGCATGTGCTCTCCAACTGAGACACGGCCCCTCCCTTGCCTGACCTCTGGGATTTGATGTTCCCAAGTGGATGAAAAATGGGCAGAATAACCCTTGGACACTCCAGGCGGTGCCCTGTGGGAGGACCGCCCCCTCCTGCCCTCTGCCACGACCGGACAGGCCTCCGCCCTGCTCTCCTACTGCAGCAAACAGCACAGAGGGGGTGAGGAGACCGGCCCCAAAGCCTTGCTCTGAGAACTAGGACAGGGTGGGCCTCGCTCACCCCCTCAGAAAGTGGGCCTCGTAGACTCAGGGACGACATCCTCATGAGAATGGTGGTGCAGAATGGCTAACCCTGGAAGGTCTGCTGCCAAGGATTCCTTCAGGTCTGGCCTACTGTGGACATCGGGATCTGAACATCATTCGTATTGCAAAACGGCTTGGCTGAGGGACAATATCCGGCACGTCTTGGAAAATGTCTTCAGACCAGAGCACATTCCAAGGACTGTTATCAGTGGTTTTTAGGAGAATAAATACCTGTCTGAGAGTTCGGAATAACTAGACAAGGACATGTTTGGAAGACTGTGGCTACATTCATAAACACTGCTTGGCTACTGGCCTGATGACATATCTCAGGGGAAGTGGTCTGGAATTGCTGCTTCTTGTTGATCCCATAGAAGGAAAGAGTCTCCCCCGGCCTGTGCCTGGCGCTTTTACAGTTTTCATCTATAATCATCAAAGAAGGGGTTGCTACCTTTTGGTCCTGTTGCTCCATCAGGGCCTCCTGCTCCAGGAGTTTTTCCATTAATGCCAACTCTTGTTTTTTCCTCAGTTCATTCTCCTCTTCGGCTTGCTGTCAAAGGTTTGGAAGAAAACAGAGCCGTTTATTTTAACCCCATACTCAGCAAAACACAAATGCCACAAATAATGCCAGTTCAAAGGGGATGTGCCACCTGGGTGAGGAGGAGAACCCACCATTTTCTGCCCTCTCCTACATGACAGGGCACATTCTTTCCAAAGCACCTCTATGAATAAAGTGGTCTAACCCAGTGGTTCTTAACCTTGGGTTACTCAGGTGCTTTTGGACTGCAACTCCCAGAAGCCTTCACCACCAGCTGTGCTGGCTGGGGTTCCTGGGAGCTGCAGTTCAAAAACACCTGAGTAACCCAAGGTTAAGAACCACTGGTCTAACCCACTAATCTATGGGTGTGAAGCATCCAAGGCAGGTCAATCAATCTCCTATGGGATCCAGAGAAGGAAAGTCACACTGCTGGTGGGAGCTGATTTCCAAGCCCCGCCTCCCTTGGCAGTCTCAACAATGTCCCCTTCTCTTTATACATGTTCTTCTCTGGATCCAGGGAGCTGATTTCCAAGCCCCGCCTCCCTTGGCAGTCTCAACAATGTCCCCTTCTCTTTACACATGTTCTTCTCTGGATCCACCCTAGATGAAAAGTAGATGCCACTGTACTGTACTTCGATTCTCTAATATAAAAGTGGTACTGCCACTTTTCAGAAATAAGCAAGTAATGGGGAGAAGAGGGAGAGACACGGTTCATGTACTGCTCAAATTCTACTACCGAATGCTCCCTTAATAAGTTAATAAGGCAAGGGAGGGCAACTTGTGGCCCTCCAATATTAATTAATTGAAGTGACTTTTTTATTGGGCTTCCACCCCCATCAGCTGTGAAGTCCAACAACATCTGGAATGGCATGTCACACCACCTGCCCACCCTTGGGACAGAGGCAAGTCTCATTCTGGATCTCAGCACTCTTTGTATATTTATAGAAGATCCCAGGAGCCGTCTCAGCCAGCAAAATGCCTTGAAGATGCCTGATGCCTAGCAACTACCACTAACCCCATAGGAGAGAGGCATGAATTAATCTTCATTGTATCTGCTTTGATTAACACAACAGACGCTCCTGTCTTTGTGGACCACCTAATCAATCTCCTGAGGGAGACGATCAACTACAACATGAAGCTCCCTTAGAAAGTCTAGCCACTTTCCTAGTGAGAAACTCAGTTTCTCTTTACCTTGTAAGCTTTCACAAATCGAACAAAGACAGGAAAGAAGACTGACGGGGGTGTTGTCTTGGGGTTCTCTCCAAAATATTTCACAGCATCATCAAAGGCATCCTATAAGAGAGACGCTTGTTAAAAAATGGGCATTTTTAACTGAGTTGACAAATGCTGTTCAGGCTATAGCAAGGAAGGATGTTCTGCAACAAAGAAGCACATAAGTTTTACCGTATTTTTCGCTCCATAAGACACACCTCTCCATAAGATGCACCAAATTTTTAGGAGAAGAAAACAGGAAAAAATAATCTGTTTTCTTCTCCTAAAAATTGGTGAGCCTTATGGAGAGGTCCATCTTATGGAACACACCCTAGGACCCTTTGGAGGCTCACCCTGCCCCCCTGAATTTGAGTCCATCACTTTATTTACTACACCACAATGGCATTCCTTGGCTTGTTCATAGTTTTTAAAAACTATTTGTTGTATTGTTGTTTTTGTTAATCACAGCTTTGATACAAAATTGTCCATTTTTATATTGATACACGTTTTCGTGAATTGAAATATGTTGTTGACATAGTCATGTCATTGCTGTTTTATTGTTTTACATGCAAACCATTTCGTATAAAATGTCTGTGAAAAGTCAACATTCATATAAAACAATTATGCCAACAACCGCTCTCTAGATTTTAAGGATCAATCTTGGAGTACTTATTGAAATAACACCTTGGAATTGGGTCCTTTAACTGTGGAACATCTTTCTTATAATAATCCCACACAAGCTACTGTATTTTTTGCTCCATAAGACACACTTCCCCCCCCCAAATGTGAGGGGGGAGTCCGTGCGTCTCATGGAGCGAAGGCAGCAATTCCGTCCCTGCTGGCCCCCCCGGGGGGGGGAGCGTCGCAAGGGTCCTGTAAGGCTCACCTGGACCTTTGCGACGCTCCCCCCCACGAGGGCGCAAGGGTCCTGGAAGGCTCACCTGGACCTTTGCGACGCTGCCCCCCCACGAGGCCAGCAGGGACGAAATTGCTGCCTTCGCTCCATAAGACGCATAGACTCCCCCCCACACACATTTTGGGGGGGAGTGTGACTTATGGAGCAAAAAATACGGTAACTTTAATAATAATTTTACCACAGAAAGGCAAAAAGATGGAGGGAAATGAGATGCCACAGATGCTGAAATAATTTATTGGGAGGACAGTAAATCTGATCCTCTGGCCAATGACCTCCTCTGGTTGGTATATACAGGCATTTACGACTCTCACTGCCTCTCACTGCCTCTTTGAAATCTATCATAAGAGGGGAATATCTCTCCACTTCTGCCATTATAAAATAATTATTGGGATGGCCTGTCCCCCACTCCACCTTCTGTCCTATACCTTTGAAAATTACTGCAGTGTCCTTTCTTTTTAAAAAAAGGGGGTATGTGACGTTCCTTGTACAGTGAAATATATGCATCTAGTATAGTGGTTCCCACCCTTGGGTCCCCAAAGGTTTTTGGACTAAAACTACCACTAGTTGTGCTGGCTGGGATTCTTGGGATTTTTATTGCCCGAGAACCTTTGGGGGCCCAAGGTTGGGAACCACTAACCTAGATCATTTTTTACAGCTAGCCTACATGGAATACCTGTGCTATTTTTGCATCATCCTGTAACTTCTTTAGTTTTCCTTCGTTGTTCTGAATGAATTCCTTCAGCATGGTATTGTGATCATGCATGGTATATTCTCGCTTTGTTAGGTCCAGACCTCTCTGGAGTTCCTTTACATCCAACAGAACATTTTCAAGCGAAACTAAAGAGAGAAAGAAAAAAAGAAAACATCCAGAATCTTCATGGAAACAGCACATACTTGATTCCTGACATCTCCAGGTAAAGCCAAGTTGGGCAGTTGTGGACCTAGAGAGTTTTTGTTGTTGTTGTTGTTGTTTGCCTTGTAACTCCCATCAGCCACAGTCAGTGCATAGTGAGCAGTAAGGAACTATGGGAATTGCAGTCCAAAAACATCAGGAGGCCCATGGTCACCCACATAAAAGGATCTCATGCAGAAAAGCCTGGCAACACAGCTCTAAGTTGAGGGAACATTATGCCACAAAGACCAGTAATAGATACCACCCCATGCCAAACCCTAACATGCTGATTTTGTCTGATTTCATAAGTTAAGCAGGGATAGCCCTGATTGACACTTAGATGGGAGATCACTAAGGAATACCAGGAAGCTAGCTCTAGGTAGGCCTCGGAAAAAGTTTCCTCCCTGAAACTCCGGAGAGCTGATGTCAATCAGAGTTGACAAAACTGGGAGAGCTGCACTGATGCTCTCAGATCATGTCAGTTTATGTCATGTGTTTCTTTGCTTTAAAATGACCAAACCTCCGCATGGTTTATCCTGCTCACTATATTGTTACGAGGTGCCTGCCTGACTACCGCAAGCTAACATCATTTCCAAAGAGAGCAGATCTCTAGATTCTAGTGACACAGGGCTGAGTTTTGGGTGAAGATACATCTTGGCTATTACCAGAACCTGCTTCACGCACAGATGAGAATTGTGGCCTGTTACCTGCAGCAGCTTTCTCCACATAGTGAAGTTCATTGTAAAAAAGGGATACTTGTTGATACTTTTCCTTCACGACATTCGATATATAGTGCAAAAGGGTTTGTTTCCGGTCTGTTGACTTTGTGTCTAGTAACTGCAACCAAGAACCAAAAGAGGTGCGGGTTAGATGAGCTAATAAAGGCAACGGATCGAGTCCCGAGATACACACGGGGAGAAGAACCTTCCATCTCCTCCTCCTCACAGCAGCGACCTTTCCTGGGAGACAAGGGACCCTTTCTGAGCCAATTTGGAAAAAACATGTATTTACAGCTCTTTACAACCAGTGACCGAGACCCAGAAAAACAAAAGAAAGGAACCCTTTTCTGTCCATGGAAGCTCTCTGATCCATCAGAAGGATCCTACGGGAGAAATGGGGGAGAAGAAATTGTCATATCAACCCCACCCCTGCTCCTGAGGCAGCCCCACGACGCCCCTGAAATCTGAACCAAGGGTTTAAAAGACCTTCCAGAATAGCACAGGAGGTGGCAACACAGGACAGGGCAAGTCATAAGCAAAAACCAACTCCCCTTTCCCCACAAACAAGAGAATTTTGAGCTAAATGGTGTGACTCCCAGACCATCCTTCAGAACCCCATCTTTGCTCCTTTTAGAAAAGGCAATCGAATCCACCATTCTACATTGGCAAAAGGTTTTAGCTGTTTTACCATTTCTTGAATGTTATTCGTTTTAATGCGTTGACTTAGTTTTTTCATACAAACTGCCCTGGATGTCTTTAAAGAAAGAGACAGACACACTCTGCTAGCTGGATATTGTCATTGTTAATGACAGGCTGCGATGCTGGAGCCAATCCACTGGCTGCATTTACTTCCCTCTCACCCTAGGTCTGGTCTGTATCACGTACTATTTTTACAAGTTATGAATGGCAAAATGTTAATTCTCAGGGTTGTTGACAGACGGTTACGCAACATAGGCTGACAGAGAAAAGCAGAGTCCTAAATATATTTCCCAGTAACGGAAAACAGAGATCACTCTGCAATTCTTATTCTCACATCAGCAGACTCCAATCTGCTGCAGCTGACAGGGAAGAATTTCATCCTGGAAAGGCCACAAGCTAGAGAACGTTTTGGGGACTGGAATTTACCTCTTTTTCATACACAAGCCAAAAAAGTCTGTCTCTCACTGGCTCAGCAAGACCTCATGAGGAGGATGCAGAAATTCCTACATCAGCTGTGTAAATACAAGAGGACCAGCAGACAACCTTCTGGGCAAGGCTATATGCAGGTCGCCCAGCTTATGACTTCCCTCTACTCACCAGATCTAAACTTTGTAGTTTAAATCCATAAACAGCTCCTCGCTTACTGCTGTTCATATAGTTACCCAGAGCCAAGATTATCTGCAGAAATAAAAAAAAATGAAAAATTGTAAGTTTCATCTAACGTCCATCCCTGAAAGAAAATGGAAAAGTTAAACTCAAATATATTGCCCTTTACGGACCAAAAATGGAAAAGTTAAACTCAAATATATTGCCCTTTAAGGACCAATAATACAACAACACTCACCTCTAAGATCTTCTTGAGTTTCTGAGATGACTTTATGGAGACAGATGCTGCAATTATTGCATGAAGTTGCTAAAGGCAAGCACAAGAAAGAACATGAACATCTGCAGAAGCAACACACAAACTAAAGTCTGCAGATTTCTGCAAAAAGTAATGCATCTTATATATGCATCTCACGCACTGGAGTCAGCATCTGGATGCTTTCTGCAAAGTTGCCAATGAATGCCATGATGGTCATCTTCTGCATCAGCCTCTCAATCTTGCTGAACTGCATCATGAACCGATCCTCATCTGACAGGTTCTCGAGGGGCTTCCTTTCCCGCTCGTAAAGCCGCAACATTTTCACTTCATTTTCCGTGGGCAAGAACCTCATCAAGCATTCAACAAAATCTACCGGCAAAGTCTTCAGGTCAAATCTAGCCAGTGCAAAATAAAAAAAACAAGTGGATAATGTCAAAGGACAAACATTCACAATGGGGAAATGACTGTGAGTTACCAGTAGGAACAGCCTACTGTCAGCAAAACCACAAGATCCTGATGTCTGATTTCCATGATATGCTCAATCAACAGATCTTACTGAAGTCATAAATCAGGTCCACAGATGTGTCATGGCCTCATGCATATGCCACAGTTACAATTCTTTCACACTTTTGTCTGCTTGTTTCGCAGACAGGAGGTAAACTATAGGGGAAAAGCACACAGAGGCCAAAATCGATTTTAGAGAAACCATACATGCAAGGGCAGTTGTCCAGTGACCTTCCTTTCACATGATCATCTGGTTTCGCAACCCGTGTGTCACCAGTCATGCAAAGGAAAGTCTACTGGAGGGAGGAAAGGTTTATGCAGTTCCCTTTACATCATCACATAAGTAGCAATGTGACCAAAGTATCAGTAACAATTATGTGTCAAAAAAGTGCCTACAGATGCTTATAGAAGTACAAAGGATGTACAAAGGCACTGAAGCATCCCAAGGCAAGGGGGTTGCTGTGGGCCTTGGCAGCTGTTCAAAACATATACAAAACATTTTAAGCAAAATTAAAAGAGCACTTTGGGTCTAGTCTAGTTGCAGAAATACTATCGAACAGGCCATGAATTCAAGTGAAGAATCATGCCAGCATTAACTCTTGACAGTGTAAATTTCAGCTGTGAATTCTTGCAAGTGAAGACGTCAACAGAGGTACTTGCTATTGCACACTAAGTCATGTGACTGGCATGTTACGGCAAATGCTTATGCCAGCTACTAAAGTTGCAATTCCAAAATTCCAGTGGGAGTTATGCTGGCAGGCATAAATGACTGGATTCCGGCCAATACACAGTATAGCTGAGTTAATTTTTCCACATGATTTGTTTCATTTTATAATTTTATTTTTGCGTGCTTATGGTTTATTTTATACTGAACTGCTCAGGATAGTGCATCGAACTATACATATAAATAATAAAGCTATAAAAATATATATAATCCTTTTTTTCAAAAACTTTTTACTTACGCCTGAATAGCTTTGCAGATTTCATCAGAAGTCTTCCCAGCTTTCCTTAAGGTGATAGCAAGATTTTTAGCTCTGTTTGCTTCCAATAATGTGACTTTGTTTGATCCTTTTTGGGTTATTTGTTTGCTTGAAGAAAGATCAATGGCTGGACCCTGGGCTTTCGTCTTGAAAATTTCTTCAAATTCATCCACATTTAAATCCTAAGGCAGAAATCCAACAGAAATGAAAAGCAGTCTATGAACCGGGCAGAGCAGTCCTAAAAGATTAGGGAAATGAGAATCCATGGTGGAGGAAGCATGACTTCCTAAGTCCTGTTGGGAAGTGGGGGGAACAGCAGGATTTTTTCAACTCCTTTTACATTCCTCCAGGTTGTCTTTATAATCCCCTCCAAATATTGTTACCAACTGGAAGAGTATTTGTAGTTATAATTACTGTAACTAACTTACTGTATTCATTATTACCTTTACAAATTGGAAGGGTAATAATGAAATCAGCTCCAAGTCCTGCAAGTCTCCCCCCCACCCCACCCCAAGTTCTGAGGAAATATCTGGGGATGGAGTGGACTTTGCATCCAGTGGAGCATCACCGAATATGACTCAGCACTTTGTTTTGTCCTTCTTCTTCTTCTTTTTTTTACAATAGCAACAGCAGAATAGGCACAATCCCACAAAGATTAAGAAAGAATGACTGGTGTGAACATCCTTCTCTATGGAAGGACTCTCATCTCCATAAACAGATGGGAAGTAGTCTACAAACCCAATATCCACTGGGATGCCCTCCCAGAGTTCATTAGATTGCACCCTAAATGTGTAGTAAAATGAATGTAAAGTGTGGAAGACATGTCCATTGGAAGAAGCCAGGGAGAAGAGATTCCTTGGCTGGTAGTCCATGTCTTGCAATCAGGCCATCAAGGAGAGAATGAAATGTTTAAATCTATCAGCTGCTCATCCAGACAGAGCACTGTTCCTCTTCTCCCCCCACCAAGGTGACTGGTGCTTAATGAGTGGAAATCTTACTGGTCCACATAACCGCATCTATTCAACTTCTCTTCTCTCCAGGAAATCAGACCCTCTTCAAGAAAGGCTTCAACAATGTTTCCAAAATTTTGAAGAAATGTTTTTTAAATGAGCTTCTTTTCAAGATTTCTACTTTGTTTTAGCTTTAGTAGATTAGCACTAAAAGGAAAGCTTCTGACCCAGAAGCTCTAGCTACCTGAACTCTGTGGCTGCTATCAAATGAAACAAACAAATACAGCACCAGAGGACATCGTTTGAAAAAAAAATGCAAAACAAAGCCAGAAAGCCAAGATTTTGGTAACTCTTCCTCACTGCTGGTGCTGATATAAGTCTCTGCAGCGGGAAAAATATTAGTATCATTTGTGTATAATCAGTTCATACAGGGGAACAAACACTCCATCTGGATGAGAATGAAATGTTGAGGCCAAGTCAAAATGAATCCCTTCTAACAACATACAACTACACATACACACTTAACAGAAATACATGGCACCAGAGATGGTGACTTGAGTCATGGCACTCAATGTCAAGTTGGACTTGAGTCGCATTGGTGACTCAACTCAGACTTGACTCTGGGTTTTTTTCCTAGGACTCAAACTTAACTTACAACACGGAATGCACCCACCCCTCCCTATTTTTCTGGGGGGAAGAGTTTGTTTTTAATAGGGATTCCAACTTGGAACCTGGTACCAAAGACGCAAACTCATACCTAAAGACTTGCCAACATCCTTGCATAGCACATACCTCTAAGATCCTTTCATCATCAATTTCATTGAAAACTGTCCCATTGATCTGGTTGGGCTTCAGAGCTACCCAATTAAATACTGGCATGCGGAACTTGGTCTTAATTGGCTTCTTGATTTTCACAGCTTTAAAGAAAACAAAGAATGTAGTTATATATTTCAAAAAAGTCAGTAAAAATATCTGGAGCAACCCAATAGCAGTTCTGGGACATGGCACTTCAACACTGGAGGAGGTCTAGAAAGCACTAAATAAATATCAAAGTGTCCAGAAGGATTGGGTGGCACTCGAAATAATGTTAAGGTTCTCTATAAACAAATATATTCTAATGTAAATGCATACAGTATGAATATTGGTTGAAAGCTGTAATCTTATATACATTTACTTAAAAGCAAATTTAACTGAATTCAATAGTATAGGCTTCTAAACAGGAATGTGTAAAAAAAATTAATAACTGTACAAAGCCTATAAAGTAGTCTAAGATTTCCTTTTCGTCAGGAAGCTGGCTGCTCTGTTTACCTCATGTAACTCTGGCTATATTCTACAGTATTTTTACTTTTAATACTCTACCACCCCTAAAATTTAAAGAACTGCAAGAATCTGTTTTGTAGAGATAATTCCGTAACTCTCACTAGTTAAGGGAGAGCAATCATATGTGTATCTAGCAATCACAGACATCATGACTTAAAGTCACTGGTCTTGATTCAACAAAGGTTAACAGAAAAAGGAATGAGGGTTGTTCCAAAGAATTCCAAACACATGAAACTTTAGGGGGTCTACTACCTGATTCGGAAAATGAACACAAAACTGGGCTCTGCCCTCACAGGGATCATCTGAAAACTGCTGGACATGCACAACATATTCCTGCTTTCAGGGACCAAGTACACACACCTATGCTTCCACTGATTTGGACTGCCAATCTGTCATTTGCATCTTGCAGGCATTATGAGGTTGATTGTATTGAAATCACATTTAGATTATTGTGGCATTCAGCCACTGTAAACAAATGTTCAAATCCACAATCTTGCAGAAAATGTTAATCAGCCTGAAGCAACCAAATTAGAAGGAAGACCCAAGAGAAGCCCCATTCTGAAAAAACACCCAAGAGGCAGTTAGACTTCATAGAACTCATGAGGGGAAAAAGTGATACTGCTGACAAGCTCAAATCTGGAATTTTTAAAAGCAGAGGAATGGGCTCCAGTCTCAATAGAGTCACTTCCTGGAGTATTAATTACTTTGACTTATCATTAAACCTTCTCTGAAAGGACATTTTCCTCATTAGCCAATGGACAAAGTATAATAAACTGAGGAAGAAAATGTAGGTTAATTACTAAGGGGAAAACACTTTCTGACTTCATTAATTTTCTACTAAAGGAAGTGATGGAATGTCCATCACTGGAAATACTCCGTAATTAGTAATTCATTAGTTACAAGGATTAATCTTCATAAAATTCATGGGATTCCCCTTGCAAAATTTAGGAAAGCATTTAAGATCTAAAACATCAATTAAGGCAGAGGTTTTTTTAAAATGCCCTCCACCATTTATATACGATTTGGTTAATCAATCAACTCCTCCTTTATCTATATGTTATTATAATCATTAAAAAATGCCCAGTAATCCTCTACAGATACTGTCCCCCGTAGCTACAGCAATAGAAAGTATAATTATAGACAAAGAAAGAGTGAGCTCCTTTTTCACAGAACTGGTATCGTTTAATGTCGTAACGTTAGTTCCAAACGAGCCAAGGGCATCTGAACATCTTTTGTAGACTTCAACAGCCAACCAAAAAAGACCCACTGCTCATTCCTCCAGTTTTGAAAAAAAAAGCCATTTAACCAGTAAAAGTAAGGCATGCAGATGATACGGAAACCATTTGCTATGAAGGAATCTGTCCAATAGGAAATGAAATCCCTAATAAGGCTTACCATGGCCAGAATAACATTTTCAGAGGACAGCACTGTTCTTATGCCAAGACTTGGGATGGATTTATCTCAACACTTCTGTTACATTAGTAACTTTATTTCACCAAAACCTCCTGTGATACGCTCACTCTTCAGTGCAAATATTCAAATTAGGGAAAACTTGGCACCAGATTTCATAAACTCTTCTACCACAGTACAGATGAGCAGTTGCCTGCCTAGCATGTATCCTGCTGGGAAGATGCTTCCATTGACCTGTCAAAAATATATATGTGAACTCTGATGGACAGCTAGCTGGCGGGTGTCGTGCAGGGATGTCCCGGTAGGTACAAAAGTAGGAAGCGCCTTCAGAATCAAAGCTCACTGCCCTCACTTTTGCTTAAAAATGACATGTGTTTTACAGTTACAACACTGAAAACATTAGATAAGGCCACGTTTTAAACTTGAAAATAGCCAATGTAATATTCAATGCTATATATTGTGATCTAACTTAGAATACCCTACGATTTCTATTTTATGCAAAAACAAATATTGCATTTAGGTGACAGGAGTGTCTCATGTTGTATAGAATGGGGTTTTTAAGATTTTTTGGATGACACATTCCATAATTCTCCACCTGGGGAGTTCTCCACTCTGAGAGACAGAAACCTTACAGAGAACTAAATGGGGCTCACCTTCCAAACTGGGAGGCTTTCAGGAGTAGCTAGGCCAAGTCCCACTTAGCTGCCTTGTCAAAAGGAAAGCTCCCGGCTAGCAGTTGGACTTGAGTAGGAAGCTTGGGCAGCAGGAAGCTTGGGCAGACCTAATGGAGTATTATGGGATTCGGAATCCAAAAATCCCATGCCTATTGAACAGTAAGAACAAGCTGAGTGCTGCTGGTGGGAAGAAGAAAAGGAAACTTTGCAAGCACCCAGCACAAAGCAGAACCGAGGACTCTTTTCCTCAAACTTCCCTTGGCAGAAATGGGACAGTGCAGTCTTCAACGTGTGCTATGCACAACGGATAAATAGGTATCCTATGAAATGAAAGTCTCAGCTGAGCAGCAAATGTACTGTTTCCGAGACTGACATCTCCACGTGTAATACAAGAATCTCCTTTATACCAACTTGGACTCTTTGCATATCTAGCCCAGCACTGTCAGGTATGGCTGGCCACGGCTCTCCAGCAGAGGTCTACCTGCCCACATAACTCACACGTTGGTACCGCACAGCTTCCAGTGTGCTCCTATCGCCACAAGAGTTTATCAACAACAACAACAACAAAAAGAGGAACTGTGCTCAGAGCCCCCCAAGGGGCACGATTCCACATTTTACAGCTATTTCAGGGGAATCTCCCCTTTTAGGGATCCACAATAACCATTTTTAAAGTAACCATTTGAAGCCTAAGCAGGAATACATTGGAGGTTGTACGAGGGTGGAAAAATCAGATTGGGGCAGCTTTTGGAGCCCTGAATGTCACACAGTCCTGATCGAACCAGAATGCTAACAACTGAACCTGGGTCCTTCTTCACACAAAAAAGGGGCTTTGCCCCTCAGCTGTCAGCCTTAAGAAGGTCATTCGACTAGTCCACCTTACTAGACTGTTGCACGGCAGGTGTGGAAAACCTCAGATGCTCCTGATGTTTTTGACCATAATCCCACAAATCACAAAACATATAAGTGTCATGCTGTCTGAGACGTCTGGGGGTCAAGACCAAAAGACGTGGAGAGACAAAGCTTCTTTGCACAAGCAGTGAGGACGACTGAGTTCATGTACACAAAATCAATTTGAACATTTTGAAAAAAAAATCAGGTCAGAATTATATCAATAACATTTTAAAATTTATGCACTGGTCCAGTCAATGGAAGACAAAACTTGTCAATAAAGCACTCGTTAGGCTTCTAAAACTCAGTGATGCCAGTGGGAACAGACCACACAATGAAGTGATTTGCTATGGCCAGTTCTAATTGCTGACTGCGGGAGCTAAGGCACAAGACTGAACATTCATGCTTTCTTGCTCACATGACTGAGTGAAAATGATGGTTTAAAAGAGTTTTGTACCAGGACAATGTTTTAAGGCAACACAAAAGCAATCCATGCTTCTAGGGAATGCAAAATCACAGCAAGCTAATTTTAAAAAAGTCACACACACACACACACGAATATGGGTAACAGGACAGGAAAAGAAAAAGAGACACCAGAAAAAAAGCATTGAAAAGTATATAAAATACTTAGCAAGAAGGAACCTACAGAAAAGCTTGATGGGCCCATCTTGAAAAGGAAGCAGAAGGAATAAATAAGAAAAGGGTTAGCCTATGGTGACAAAAGTATAGGTCATTCAATCACCTCAAAGACCGGTGCTTATTTTTCTTACTCTTAGGCAGGCGTAAAGCAGAGCTTTTGAAGGCCACATCACACATTACAGGTTTGCTCTACAAAAACAAAGCATTGCCCTGAGAAGCAGCGGGTATATGGACTAGGAAATCTATATATCACAAAAATGTGTTATTCTTTTCAGCTGCTAGGGTACAGGCATGGAACCTGAGGAAGAGGACTCATAATCCTGTGAGCGCTGGACATGCTGACTGGGGCTGATGGGAACTGGAGTCTAATGACATCTGTATAGTCACAGGTACTCCACATCAGTATTCAGGTAAAACATATCTTCTTATAGAAAGATACCACAAGTATAGTAAAACACCAATGAATTACTACTAAGAGCCTTCTACTGACTTCCTCTAGGCAGGCACTGAATGAAATGGTGCATTTTCTTGCCCTTAATTTGGGACATTTTCCCTACAAGATGTATGATGATCAGGTAGGCCTGGAACCATAATTCATTCTTCCATGAACATAGATAGCCATTTGAGAATCACACTTTTTTAACCCTAACATCTATTGGTAAATAAAGTTTGTGAACAGCAAACTGTAGCAACTGGGATGAAAGAATCTTATCCTCCTTTGCTATGATGTCCCAAGATAATCATTTCTTGCAAGAGCAGGGACAGGACCTGGATGGTCCCCTTACAATGCTGCCAATTTATGTGGACGGTAACATGTGTGAATTGGGGACCTGTAAAAGGATAAGGCACCTTCACCTGCTTGGTAGATTCAGTGACAGAACACTGAATCTAGGCAAGTCAAGAAGGAAATCTGGAACTTCAGTCCATCACATCACTACTCACTTCCATCCAGTTCAGAAACTACAGAGTAGTGTCAGGGTTTTGTGTTTTTATTTTGGGTTTTGTTTTTTGTTTGTTTTCTTGTTAACTTTGGTATTATACACATGGAACCTCCTTTCCCACAAATCCCAACATAATCTTCCCTGTCAAATGACCTTCATCCAGGCCTCAAACTGACCAATTGCAAATTCTTTCCATCTTGCAGCAGCTGTTATCTTTAAGAGCAACACTCTACTAGATTGAATGGATTCAGTATTGAAAAATTCCGATTTAGGTTTTGGACCTAAAGCTTCCCAACTACACCTAAAAAAGGGGAAATTCTCTTCAAGGAATTGTTGGGGGAATTTTCACATTAATGAAACCACCCAATGAATTCTAATGGAAGAGGAGTCTGAATCGTGATTCATAATCCTCCAAATTAAAATTCAACTAAAAGGGAACGGTATTAATTTCAGCAACACAACAGACGAATTAATCAGCAGGATAACTGATCATCAGGTTTACCAGGAAGATGGTAACTAACGACAAAATCAAGCTAAGGTCCTTGGACGTAGAGGGACAAAATGAGCTATCCTGGCAGTCGTGTCTCAGCATGTGACTGAGTCCCTCTCTTATCAGATTCACGTGTTTGACCAAAGGATGCTCAAGTATGAATGCTGTACTGAATTCAGACAATGAAGAGGGAAACCACAACATCAGAACAGCACATAAAGGCACAGTGGGGATATGAAGTCCAGCGCTGGAACCAGTGTAGTGGAGTCAGATCTTGCAGGGTCAAAGTCCCAGGACTTTCTGAGCAGATGGGACCATGACATCATCCATACACCCCTCAGACTACCCTCTTCACTTGGAGCTCAGCTGCAATCCTCACAGTAGCTGCGACAGAAACAGACTTTCCCAGCAGCAATACATTCCTGCAAAGTATCTTGGTAAATGGAAAGTATTTGAGATTCATTTCTCTTGAATGGGCAGTTATAAGCTATTAATTCTACCAAAGACCTGCACTTCATTTCTTAGTCTGTACCAATCAGCTGCCTGCATTTCTGGGCTTTCCTTATGGGGAGTGGTGGCTATGGGGAATGTTGTGATGTCCAAATCTGTAGTTCCAAATTTACACTTGCATCACTGGCTGAAAGGGCAGACTATATTAGCTATTCACGATGCTGATGTGTTTCAGAATCAATATCCTTCTTTGTGAGCTGTTACTATAGAATACATGGCATAAACTAAAGCTTCAATAGCAGCTCCTGGTTCAGCAAAAGAGTGGCATATGCTGAGACGAGCATCAGTTTTTCAAAGAAGTGAATAAATTTTACATTTCCAGTATTGGACTTTGTGTCCTGTTTTCCTTCCTGTGCACAACACTAAGGAAAAGAAAGAAAGCATTTATTAAAGCACTTCTCATCTGGCCGAGTGAAGCTACTGCAGCGTGAAATAAATAGCCCAGAGACATCCAAATGTTACTTGTTTTTAAATAAGCATACATTGGTTGAGAACATTTGGAACAGGACATGTATGCGGTTTAGGGGCTAAATTTTTTGCTTTTAATGCATCACTAGATTCCACTGTGAATTTTGCTTCTCCCAACTGCTATTTTTAAAAAGGAAGAAGTCCCATGCAGATTGAGAGAAAAGAACTACTGGAAAGGTAAGGAGCCATCTGCTGTTGTTTTAAAAGCATGAAGAAGTTCCATCTGTCTCCACGTAACAGGATGATTTTTTTCATGTCCTTTTCTTCATAGCAAGCAGTATTTACCTGCTCGTTGGCAGCATAATGATTTACATTCATAAAGCCATTGGGACTCCAACCCACTATTGCGGAAGTGCTGGGCCTGTTATCACCTGTTAGCACTTGGTGTAAGTGGAGAAGCTTCAAATCTAAAGGTGAGAGTCACAATTCTTAATGATAGCAATTTTAATTGTATTTTTTAATTGTATTTTAATTGTATTTTAACTGTATTTTAATCATTTTATTTTATTGCATTGAATTTTAATTGTTGTAAGCCGCCCAGAGACCTTTGGGTAGAGTGGGCGGCATATCAATTAAATAAATAAATAAAATAAATAAATAAATAAATTCTCCATGCGTGATGCCCACCATCTTTCTCGTAAAAACAGACCCAAGGTAGGTAACAGGTCTAGGCTCCTGAGTGGGGAGCTAAGCATCTCCCTCTATTTTTCCTTCTCCTAGTGCAGCAGTATAAGATGCCATTTCTGATCTGTGATAGCACCGAGAGGTGCCTCCCCATCTCTGAAGCACTACTGGATGGTGAGCTACAGGGCACGAACGAAGGAAGACACCACATACCCATCCTGGCCAACCCCTGTTGATCCAGGCAATAGCCATCCTTTGACTCTGCATAGACTTGTACAGCCTGCTACGTCTTACCTGCCAGTCCTGAGTTGAAAACCACTGTAGGGGAGGCTGTTCCTGGAAGAGGGGGCGCAGACGGCGGGGGGGGGGGGGGGATTGGGGGAGCTGGCA